TTTGTATGTGGCATACACATTTCTTTGGTAGTATAAGAAATTTTAAGTTATTCAAACACTCGAAACATCAAAATTGATTGGCAGTATAAGAGAATTCAAATTATTAAAATACTTTAATCATTCAAAAGGATCGACATCATAGTATGTTATGGCATTCTAACTTACTAACCAATTAAAATCCTTTTACGAAAAAAAACTAAAGGGTAACCACATGTAAGGGAACCAATAACTAAAATCATTTGGAAATAACCCTTCTATTTACTACCTATCGCCAAAGATTACGGCACATTTTCTTTTCGACTTGTTTGCATTTCCTCCACCATGAGCAACATCGTTATCTCCTTCAGTAATAATTTCGTCATCTCCATTAACGACACATTTATCTTCATTGTCAATTCTCACTTCCTTCTTCTCTTGCATTTCAATAATATCTTCCTTGTTTTCCTGCATTTCATCGAGCATAAACTTTTTAATGATAAAATATTTAGAAATGGAAATGATCTTTTCATTGGAGTGGAATATACATTGCCCAAGTTATGTACAATATCTTCGATTTGTTCCTTCTCTGCATCACGGTAATGTAATGACAGTCTAGAAGCGCTTTACCACCTAGTTGCTGAAGATTTTTCTAGTTTTTGGTGTTGTTTTTCGTTACCACCTGGTTTAGATGTAAAAGTTGAGATGCTATATCTTCAGGTTTGTTAATATATTTAAACAAATACTTGCTAGTCCTGAATGAAATAGTAAATTAATTATGACTCGAAACATACAAATAACATAATAATAGTAATAATAAAGTAACAAAAATCTATTTACATCTTACAACTTTATATGACTCTTCAAATTTTGTTTCACCATATTTCAAATTATATATTTCCTAAAAGGTTACAAAAATTTGGTATTTTGGTGATAATTTTATTCACTTGGCCTTGCAAGTTACATGTCTAAAATAAAAATAAGTGGAAAATCCAAAACAATAAACACACATGTCTCACACTGCTACTACAATTTCACAAAACTACTTTCCCTAACTAAACAACAATGACATAGTAATAACAGTATTAATAATAAAACGGTCCAAATCCTCAATGTTGCTAACGTATAACACCTTGATAGGCCATGAGAATATATATAGTAAATACTCTGTAACAATGATAATATGAACAACGAACAGAAAGCTGGAAAATAGTTAAGGAGAAAAGAGACACTAACAGGAGACCACAAAAATTCAAACAAATATATGAGTAATTTAATGATGATATAAGAAAAGGTCGAGAGAAGAATAACTAACATTGATTTGTTGAAAAATCCGACAGTGATGTGTATATGAAATTGCAACAATAATTTCTTTTGTTAATGATATTTTGTTTTCTTGATGCCGATACATGTAAATCCGAAACCATAGTCAACAATAGTTATTTGACTGCAGAATTTCTTCAGAATATATGTAGAACATGTACACCTTTAGTTATACATGAAGCTTTAGGTCCTTAAATGCCACATGGACCATGAAACACATAATTGGTAAATGTTGCCTACGATTCATGGTTTGCTTTAGGATTTGGGATTTTAACATATATAATTGAATCAGTTTCCAAAAGATCATAGAATTTATTTTCTTCGGGTATGAAAATTGGAAAACTAATAAATGAGCATGAGGTAGTCCATGCTTTTTGAAATTCAATTGACGTTGGATCTGCAATGAAATAAATTATCAATAATAATTTTAATTGAAAAATAAAAAATAGGGCTAATACCACTGGGAAACCCGAACTATTAACTTTGTGTCATTTGTGTCCTAAAGTATTCGATACGACATTTGTGTCTCAAACTATTTTTCCGTTAGAGTTGACCAGCATTGACTGTTAGTTTTTAACAGAAAATCTAGTCAGCGCTGACGTGGCATCCGAAGTGGAATATATAATATTAATTTATAATTATTTTCCACATAAAAAATTAACATTCCAAAATAAATAAAAAACTAATTACCCTTCCCTCTCCGTCTCCCAACCTCCGCCGCCGCAACCTAGAGTCCTCGTTGGTCGGGATGGTCGCCTCGTCTTCACCGGAGGTGTTGCTTCATCTTTGTCGTCGGTCGTCTCCTCCGATTCTTCGCTCTTCCCTGATTGCTTAGAAATCGTCGACCTTTCGGTTCTCCGATCCCGCCGAGGCCTTCCAAAGAAAAAGAGTCTGTTTCTTTTCTTCACCCCTGCTTCCATTCTAAATCTAGTTCTAGCCTTTCTCCCTCGCCTTTAGTATCCAGCCAAAAAACTTGCTCCATTGTTGCAGAATGGTCTCAATCACCAATCGCTTGCTTCCCATCTTTCACATCGCAAGACATGCACCCTCCCATGGTTGCCATTTTTTTTATTTCTTTCTCAGGAAAAGCCCTAATGAAAAAAATTAACTTGACAGGCGACGAACAAGAAAGAGAGGGATGGGGGGTTTTGGGTTTATAAATCAAGATACAGAGTAAAGAAAACAGTGAAGGCGGAGGGTGCTGGGGGGTTTTGTGTTCTTGTTCCATCGATTCCCGCCGCAGGAAACATCAAAAGAGGAGGGTATGTGGTGGTGGTGGTACCGACCTAGCTGCCTCCCTCCGCCTCTGTTCTTCAATCCTCAACCAAAAGCGGCCCCACCATCGGAGAAGACGATTCATCTCCGCCTCTGTTCTTTGATCCCTCTCGCCTCTATTCTTCGACTGGCCTAACGCAACAACCAGCCACCAGATCTCTCTCTCTCTCTCTCTCTCTCTCTCTCTCTCTCTTACTGGATTTGGCGGTGATGGAGGAAGAAGGGAAGAATGGTTGATGTCAAGAGGGAGGGAGGAGAGCAAGAAGAAGAAGAAGAAGAAAAAGGGAGGAGGCGGCCCGATTGAGGAAGAGAGAGGACGCCCGACGGATTTGGCGGAGGAGATTGACGGAAGAAGGGTGGAGAGATTGACGGAGGAAGGGAGGAGAGCTTTTTTTTCTTTTATTTTATTGAATTTTTTAAGTGACATAAAAAATAAATAAAAATTAGGTTTAATTATTTTTATAAATTATTTATTTATTTATTTAAATTTTAATTAAAAATATGAGGTGTCACTGACGTGGCATCTACGTGGCTGCCACGTCAACAAAAGTCAATGTTAATGTTGACTTTCGTTTGGTCAACCGTTATATATAACGGTCAACAAAATCGACATGACATAAATGACACAAACCTATAATAGTTTGGGACACAAATGTCATATCGAATACTTTAGGACACAAATGACACAAAGTTAATAGTTCGGGTTTCCTAGTGGTATTAGCCCTAAAAAATATTTCATTTTGCATTCAATTTTTAATGATCGAATTGACTCATTATTTGAAACCGTTGATGACTTCTCACGGGGAATGCTTCTTCTTCAAGACATAGAACTTCAAAAAAGAATCTCAGATTAGCCTTCAGCAGCCAATGCAAGCAAATACTGAGCAAAGCAAACCTTAAAAAGAAAAACAAAGGGTTATGTCTATTTTTTTAATCCAAATAATTTTCAGATACTTTTATATTATGCAAACTCATCGAAATACTAAGAATTAGCCAAATGTTAACTTTCATTTAGCAATTTTGTTAGTAATATTGACTTGACAACATGATACTGACTTGAAAGAGACACGTGAAGGTTAACATTCAAAAATTTTAGTATTTTAACTAAGAAAAGAGTTAAAAAAATTATTAACCATAACGTAAAATGGCTAATATTTTGATGCATTATAAAAGATTTGTCTAATTAATAAAATTTTAATAGGTTTAGATAATATAAAAGAATCTGAAAATTATTTGGATAAAAAATAGACACGAAAAACAAATAATGAAAATTTTATTACCATTCGAAGTTAGGTTGATTGCATTGCCCAACAAGATATCACCAATTACATATGACCCTGAAGTGGAAACACAACCATATTGTGTATAGATATTATATGTGTTTGCTTCATCGTACATTCACTGCAACACCTGTATACAGCAACTCAGTAAAAGAATTCCTATCGTTGGGTAAATAAGAAAAAAGTCATCAATGTTTGATAATTATGTCCCCATGATCACTAATTCGATACATCCAAACTATTCTGAATCCTAACAATACTCCTAATTTAGGAGCTGCAATGGGCTTTGGGGGAGGGCCCATCCGTTCTCTACCGGCTAAGTAATAAAAAATTGATTCACGGCCCAGTTGAATGTTACAGATAATTTTCCCAAGCTATCCCTCCGTGAACTGCGCACAGTGCAGGAAAAGTGAGGTTAAAGTGGTTCCGGCCAAGAATCTCTTTATAGTATTGTTAGGATTTATGCAAACCCATTCCGTATTTCGTGAGTAGACTGCGCCTCGGCCCAGCGAATTGGAATGGTCGGGCCGAAAAGAAGTTGGATAGGAAAGTACAATGGCTGGATCAAATGGTTGTTAGAACCGGCCCAAACACAAAGACGAATTGCATTGTGCTATATTTTTGCGAATATAAAAGGAAAAAGAGATTGGTCAATTTTTAAATTTTAAAATGTGGATTATACGCGGTACATTTCGATCCAAATATAATTCGATTCAATATGATTATTATATGAATTAGAATGCGATCATTGTCATTCAAAATTCCATTATTTTCATTGGCAATGGCAAGTACCACAATTAGTATCAAATCACAAATATCAATGAAATGGAGGAAAAAAAATTGTTTTACAAGTTTAAACCATTTCCCCCAATATGGCGCCAAAAGCAGTAAAAGTAAACGGAAATGCGCGGCAAACCGGGCCCGCTTCCTCTCTCTTCCCCCGGTTTCCCGGGCGGGCCCCATCATTTTCCTCCTACTTATTATCTCCACATTTTTTCAAATTTAAAAGTGAAGATCCCATTCACTGCCAGCTGGCTTCCCAACAGGCGCGCCCCAGAGCTCTACTCTCCTCCAAATTCCTGGCGCCAAATTCAAAACGCTTCCCTCGAAAATTAAATTCCTCATTAAAAAAAAAACATTATATATAAAAAATCCATTTTCCCGTCCTGCCTAACTTCCAAAATACGCCTCCAGCCTTATCCCCAGTTCCCCACATATATAACCCTAGCCCCCATTTCTCCATCCCAAAGCGCGCCTTAAACCTGTTCGACGAAATTCCCGTGAGAGAGTTCAAAAACCCAGGGGGAGACTAGAGAGTGGAGAAGAGAAAAAGATGTATGTCGTGAAGAGAGACGGGAGGCAGGAGGCCGTCCACTTCGACAAGATCACCGCCAGGCTGAAGAAGCTCAGCTATGGCCTCAGCATCGACCACTGCGACCCTGTCCTGGTTGCGCAGAAGGTGTGCGCGGGTGTTTACAAGGGCGTCACCACCAGCCAGCTTGACGAGCTGGCCGCCGAGACTGCCGCCGCCATGACTGCTAACCATCCTGATTACGCCTCCGTGAGTTTTTAGTTTAGTCCATGCTGGGATGACTGCCGTTTTTTGCGTTTTGGATTGGATTGTGTGTGATTGTGTTTTGGGTTTTCTGGTGTGGCAGTTGGCTGCGAGGATTGCGGTGTCGAATTTGCATAAGAACACGATGAAGTCGTTCTCGGAGACGTAAGATTGTGTGATGCGTATGGTTAATTTTGATTGATTTACTGTGTAATTGGGTACAGAATTTGGGATTTTAATTTTATGATTTCGTGGTGATGCAGTGTGAAAGTGATGTACCATCATTTCAATGAGAGATCTGGGTTGAAGGCTCCTTTGATTGCTGATGATATTTACGAGATCATTATGCAGGTATAGATTGAGTTCAATTTTTGACTTGGTTTTGTTTGATTTTTGCTTTAGTTTGATAAAGATTGAGAATCTTAATTGTACTTTAGGATCAGCTTAATCCTTAATGTACTTGTTGATTGAGTAAGGCAAATGGGTTTTCATCTTGCTAGAAGATGTAGTAAAAAGTGGTTCCTATGGCACAGTGTTGGGTCTGGACACGAATTGTTAAGAAAGTCTCTTGTTTTTGTGAAAGATAAAAACCTTGTGCGATGCCTTTTAGGTACCAAAAGTATAGTTTCTTGAATCTAGTATTTAGTTTGTGAATTATAGTTGCTGGGGTTTTTTGAAGAGTCAGACTGATGCTCAAACACTCCTGAGTATGGTGATATTCTAGCTGATGTAGAAGAGTATAATGCTCAGTTTGTAGTTTGTTATGAGAAAATGACTGATATTGTGGCCAATCACTTTATATGCTTCAGAATGCAGCTCGATTGGACAGTGAGATAATCTATGACAGGGACTTTGACTACGATTACTTTGGATTCAAGACTCTAGAGAGGTCATACCTGTTGAAGGTCCAGGGGAAGGTTGTAGAAAGACCTCAACACATGCTGATGAGGGTTTCTGTAGGCATTCACAAAGATGATATTGATGCAGCTCTTAAAACGTACCACTTAATGTCACAACGATGGTTTACTCATGCTTCTCCAACACTATTCAATGCTGGAACTCCAAGGCCTCAAGTATGTGATGTGTTATCTAAGCTGTCGATTTGGTTGTCAATTTCATGTTGTTTCTTTGGAGGTTAATGTGTTTATTTTATTTTGCAGTTGAGCAGCTGTTTCTTAATATGCATGAAAGATGATAGCATTGAGGGAATTTATGAAACCTTGAAGGAGTGTGCTGTTATCAGCAAATCTGCTGGGGGCATTGGTGTTTCTGTTCATAATATCCGTGCTACTGGTAGCTATATTCGTGGGACGAATGGGACATCCAATGGCATTGTACCAATGCTAAGAGTGTTCAATGACACTGCACGATATGTTGATCAAGGAGGGGGCAAGAGGAAAGGTAAATTGAGTTTCCTGTGCCTTTTATAATTTGTTTAAATGTGGATTTCATGGGCATATGATTGACTTTGTTTGTACTGTTTACAGGAGCTTTTGCTGTGTACCTGGAGCCATGGCATGCTGACATATTTGATTTTCTGGATCTCAGGAAAAATCATGGAAAGGTATGATCAAAGAGTAGCAGATCTTTTCCGTATCATCTTATTAAAGTTGGATGAAGTATAATTCACCTCATTCATGTTCTCATCTGAATGAATACAATATGATCTCGCAGGAGGAGAACCGTGCAAGGGATCTGTTCTATGCACTTTGGGTGCCCGATCTCTTTATGCAAAGAGTCCAATCAGATGGGACATGGTCTTTGTTTTGTCCAAGTGAAGCACCTGGTTTGGCTGACTGTTGGGGTGAAGAGTTTGAGCGGTTGTACACCAAGTATGAAAGAGATGTAAGTTCACTTCCCTTTATGCTTGTTACCCTTCTCATTGCAAAACTTTTGTTATCTGGTGAATTATGTGTGAGATTCTGATTTTAACAACCCCTGTTACTTCCTCAGGGAAAGGCTAAGAAGGTTGTTCAAGCACAGAGTTTGTGGTTTGAAATACTAAAATCTCAGATTGAAACGGGAACCCCTTACATGCTCTTTAAGGTAAGCACTTTGAATATTTGAGATATGTTTGAATGTTCTGTTTCTGTTTATTCATTTAAAGTGTATGGTCTGTTATATGCACAGGATACTTGCAACAGAAAGAGCAACCAGCAGAATCTGGGGACAATAAAATCATCCAATTTGTGCACTGAGATCATAGAGTATACAAGTCCAACTGAAACTGCTGTGTGCAATTTGGCATCAATTGCACTTCCACGATTCGTTAGAGAGAAGGTATGCTGCTTTCCCCTCTTCTGATATGGATCATATGGCTCGTCCCTTATGTGACCTTCTTTGTTCTTACAACATTTGCCAATTGTCTCAGGGAGTACCAATGGAATCTCATCCATCTAAGATTGTGGGAAGCAGAGGCTCCATGAGCAGATATTTTGATTTTGACAAATTAGCTGAGGTATGTGATTTTGTTATGTCATACTTAATTGACCAAACCTCTCCCGACTTTATTGTTTTCATGTCTCCAATTCTTCATATCCTCTATTACAGGTTACCCAAGTTGTGACTTACAATCTCAACAAAATCATTGATGTGAACTACTACCCTGTTGAGACTGCAAGGAGGTCAAATATGAGGCATAGGCCCATTGGAATTGGAGTTCAAGGCCTTGCAGATACCTTTATTTTGCTAGGCATGTCATTTGACTCCCCAGAGGTAAACTGTTAACACCTACAATAGGTTTACAGTTGTTCTTTTGCTTATCCATTTTTAGCTTAAGCGTAGTCTTTTTTAAGCTTGGATGACCTGAGTTGTCTAAATAATTTACTGGGATATGCATTTCAGGCTCAACAGTTGAACAAGGATATATTTGAGACAATCTATTACCATTCCCTGAAAGCTTCAAGTGAGATTGCTGCAGTAGAAGGTCCTTATGAGACATATCCAGGAAGTCCTGTCAGTAAGGTATGCCGAAATATTTATCTGAGAATTTTTTTACTATAGCCATGCACTGAGTTAAATATCATTCTAGGGTTTTCCGTGGTTTATGACCATTTACATGTTTGAAATTTTGCAGGGAACTTTGCAGCCAGACATGTGGGGCGTGACTCCCTCAGCTCTATGGAACTGGGACATTCTAAGGGACATGATATCAAAGAATGGAGTCAGGAATTCACTTCTTGTAGCACCAATGCCTACTGCCTCAACCAGCCAGATTCTCGGAAACAATGAGTGCTTCGAACCCTATACTTCCAACATCTACAGTCGCAGGGTTCTGAGGTACTGCCATAGAAACTCAACAACTCATCTATTTTCAGTCATTCATCTTAATCTCACAATCTAACTAACTTTGCCTCTCTTTTTCCTAGTGGTGAATTTGTCGTAGTCAACAAACATCTTCTCCACGACCTGACCGAGATGGGTCTCTGGAATCCAGCCCTCAAGAACAAAATAATCTATGAAAATGGTTCCGTCCAGAATCTGCCTGAAATCCCTCATGACCTCAAGCTTATATACAAGTATGTGCAGAGATCTCAACTCCTACATGCTAATTCCTTCCATTCTCCCTCTCAATCGTTTTGCTCATGCAATTGCTATGGTAATATCAGGACTGTCTGGGAGATCAAGCAGAGGACGCTTGTCGACATGGCAGCTGATCGCGGTTGCTACATCGACCAGAGCCAAAGCCTTAACATCCACATGGACCAACCCAATTTCGGGAAGCTCACTTCCTTGCACTTCCATACATGGACCAAGGTATGCACCTCGAGATCAGCAAACCACACATACATACAAATACACACTCCTCTCAATATCTCAAACCACGAAACTTGATATTTTCGAGTTCTCAGGGTCTCAAGACGGGAATGTACTATCTGAGATCGCGTGCAGCAGCTGATGCCATCAAGTTCACCGTCGACACTACTGATCTTAAGGTACATAAAAAGCCCTGCTGATGATCACTTTACAAACTATCCACCATTCTTTCGTTTAATCGCGGTAGTCGCTAATGGTCTTCTTACACAGGACAAGAAGCTGAAAGTTGAGGAGGTTGAAGACGATGGCACCAAGATGGCGCAGATGGTTTGCTCTTTGAACAACCGTGATGAGTGCCTAGCCTGCGGGAGTTGAACAAACAAAGGCGAGTGACGTTTGTACTATAGCTTTGACACCATATCTTGTGCAAGAATGTTGGTTATGGTTCTAATGGTTTTTATTATTCTGAGTTCTTTTAGTTTATTTACAGTAAGAGTAGTAGATGAGTGTGGGGAAGTCTTTCTGTATATAGCTCAATCTATCACCATGAGAGTTATTTCTTAATGCGATTCAAGCTCGATGCGTCTTAACTCACTGTTTGGTGTGATTGCATGTTCTTCATTAATTTTTCGTAGTAATGTTACTAATAATTACACTTCCACCGGTATAATTCATTTCAAAATTTCGTCTTCGTTATAGATGTCCTTCGAACAAAATTAATGGTTAATATTAGAGACCATAAATAATTTTGTATACGAAAGTCGGAAAAGTCTGATTTGTGTGCCATGGAAATTTACATCTTCATACCTACTGCTGCCGTTAAGTTTTTGCTTTTGGCATAAAAACCCTGCGGTTAAATATTGGAAGTTACTCCGGTAAAAGCCCTAAAAGTTACTCCCACAAAAGAAAAAACCTTGTACAGGTCTCGCTAGCTCTCCCGGCGGCGGCCGTCGCCGTATCAACCCCAACGCCGGCCCAAGCTCTTCCAGAACAAACGTCTCTAATCTCCGACAAGTCAGTCCAAATTCCGCTCTTTTCTCAACTCGATCGTTTTCGTCGACTCGCTGCAAGTCACTCTCTTCGCCGGGGGCTTCAAATCGGATTCTCCCCCTGCTTCAATTAAGATCGTCGCCGGCGACCAGTGAGAGAGGGCCCATCGTCCCTGCTGTTGTAATTGAGTTCCGCCGATGCACTAGTGCTGTACCATTGTGGAGTTGTATTAAGTTATTAACCTCAGATGTCAAGGCCCGGCGGCGGCGGCGGCGGCGGCTTCAAGAATAAACGTTCCTATGGTGCCGGTGGTTTTAAAGCACCACAAGATCCCTACATCTTGTTTCCTGTAAGTCTCGTGTGTTTTCGTTTCTCTCTGTTTTAGTTTGGCTATCTTTGCCGTTGTTCCCACTTCCCAATCCCGCGAATTCTGAACTTTGAATGACTTGCATGGATGATTTAGTGCTGGAGAAGCAAAAGATTTGTTAAGCCCTTAGCCTACTTATTGCTTGAATTCTCATCACCTCATGGCGGTTCCTTTTTGGTGTTCATTCTGTTTTTTCCCCAATGGTTTTCAAAGATTCCCATGTTTCGTTCTTCTCCCTCTGGTACTCACCCTTGATGGGGAAACTACTGCAGGAAGTTAAATTGCCTGATCCGAAAAATGTGAAGGAGGAGAAGAACTTGGTTATTGTGAATGCAAAGTTCCAAGCTTTCTGGAAAGCTTCTTGTTACTACCTAGAAGAAGCTACGGATGCTGGTCCAAAGAGTAAGTCTGGAGCTTCACCTCTAATATTATATATATGTTTCTGCAGTAGCTGTATGTTTTTATTGAGTTTCTCTCTTCTTCGCCATCCTTGGTGGTGTCGTGTTTAGAGAGTTGGAGCTTGGAAGTAGAGAGATTCGCTGACAGGGGGAAGCCGAAGGTCACATCGAAGCGTAGCTCGCTCGATGAGTTTCTGCAGTTTGGATCTGATTATTTCCCCAAGGAACTTGTTGGAGGTTGGTTTTTGCAGTCTTAACCACAAACTTACGTGATAGTTGGTTGCTTTCTCCTTAATGAACTGCTTTTTGACACTCATCAGTGTATGTGGGATGTGTGTGTTTTAGGAAAGAAGATTGTGAGGAGATCGAAGAAAGCGCGATGGGACCAGGGTAATGACGATTGCTTCTGCGATCTGCCCTTTTTCTTGTTTTTCCTACATCATGTGCACAATCTTGTTATCTTAGGTTCAGGAAGTTTTCCCAACATATGCTGTGATGAGATTCCTTTGGTGCTTGTTTGCATTACACAACATGATGATTCATTGCTTTTGCAATGGTCTCGGCTTGTTTCTAATTCTCTTATGCTTCTCTTTGATCAACCTTCCGATGAATGTATAATGGTAAACTGATCTAACTGATTGTCTTGACATGTCAGCTATGGATGCCCTTGAGACTCTCGAGGACAAAGAGGCGAAAAAGAAAGCCGTGGTATGTGATTATCTGGCCTCGGATGCAGTTTTCATCTTCTCATAGCTTGTATGCTTTTGCTGATGACTATGAATGCTGCTACTGATGCCTTTTGATGGTCTGGTCTCCTCCATCTAGGGTGGCCAGGAGAAAGAAGGTGAAGAAGAGGAAGAGGAAGAAGAAGTGGAAACATTCGAGGAGGAAGATTTCAGCGACGATGACTATAATCAGGTTAACAATAACAACTCATCATATGCATTTTTTCGCCTTTGATTTGGTTGATGAACTCTGCAACTTTTAGAACAGAGCTTTGTGTGGCACTCTGACCAGTCTCCACAATATTGCAGAATGAGTACTTCGACGACGATGAAGATGATTTCAACGTCGATGCTGGTGACGATGGTATGGAGTTTCTTTTCTCTTCTCTTCAACACCCACTCCCTCGCTTAAAATCTTGCTCTTCTGTCGTATGATTTTAACCAGAGTACTATTTTGTTATCTTCTCTTGCAGAGGGCCCTTTATATTGAAGGTTACAACGATGCACGTTCCTCCACTCGGATCCGTTCGTTCTACCATTGAATATAGCTCGAAGAACAATCGTAATCGTATTTTTTACAGGAGTCGGGATCATGTTAGTATTTGTGAGAGATTGAATAGAGAGCGTTTCAATGTTATGTACAAATTATCTGAGTTGGTTTCAATGAATATTATCAGCCATCATTCGCGTAACAAAACACTGTTTCTCATTCAACTATCACTAAAAACGCAATAACCCAAAAAACGGTAGAAAAAGGAAGAAGTAAACTACTAAAATAACAAACTGCCCCCGTCCTCTCTGTGACGTGTAACCCTAAATTTGTTCCTCTTCGCGGCTGCCCTCTCAGTCTCTTCACTCTCTCCATATTCTGTTGTCGGCGTGTACTTTTGAGGGGCCTTGACGCCGCCGCCGGTTATTGCAGCACGACCGCCTCTTTCAGTCGCGCCGCAAGTCAGCCGCCTGGCTTCTCTTCTCATTCTTACTCTCGCCGTTACACAGCCGCCGTTAGCTGTCTGCCCGCGCCGCCTCAGTCCGTCACAATCCTCTGGTAAGGTAAAGTCTCCCCACTCCTTCGTCGTTTCTTTTATAGATTTCGGCGGCTGTGTAGCGCCGATTCCGGCCGTTTAGGAGTTGATTTTCCATTGGGTTCCTCGGTTTCCAGAGGCCCTGCAAACTTTTTCTGAAACAGGGGGAGCTGAAAGGAGGAGGAGTGAGAAGAGGGGAGCAATGGAGCTTGCATTCGTAAATCCTTCCTCCGCTACATTATTCGCCGCTAACAATGCTTTACCAAGCTTGTTTAAGCGTAGTTCCATCAAGGTTCTCAGTGTCCGCTGCTCCTCTAGCTCAACCGCTGGAGCAGCTGCAGGTGGTAATTTTCTCTCTCTAATTTCATTGGTTTCCCAAATTGCGTGTTTTGTTCCTTTGTCGCCTGAAAACTTCATTGAAGGGTGTGTATTGAAGGTATTGTTTGTTGCTAAAGACTTCATTTTTAATGGTGAAACTGTTAGGTGTTGTGGAAAGGCCTTGGAAGACTTCAGATGCTAGGCTTGTGCTTGAAGATGGTTCAGTGTGGAAGGCCAAGTCCTTTGGTGCCACTGGAACCCAAGTTGGGGAAGTCGTATTCAACACCTCCTTGACAGGGTAAATACTCGAAACCCGAGTCCTCGTTCTTTGATTTTATTTAATTCCTTTGATTCATTGGTTTTATGCGTCGTATCAGTGGGGTGGGGAAATTTTGGTGAATTTGATCTGATTAAAGGAAGGGTTGATATAACACTTCACTTGTGGCGTGGTTCTTCAAGTAGTAAGAGTGTGTAGTCACCACGAAATCAGCTACTTACTGTGAGCTGAGATTGACATTCGATCCTATTAGTCTTTTCATCAATTGGATATGCAAAGCTATCTGATGTTACTTCTTTTTTGTGGCCTGTATGTTTGAGGGGAGACGTGTGTAATTATCTTCATCTTATGCTATCTATTGCATCTGCAGTTGTCTTTTGTTGTCTGATGTATTGAGTCTCTGACATGCATTCTTTACAGGTATCAGGAAATCCTAACAGACCCTAGTTATGCCGGTCAATTTGTGCTGATGACGAACCCCCATATTGGCAACACTGGTGTAAACCTTGGTATGTGGACCTTCAACGAAGTTATGTTTATAATATCAGGAGGCATGGGTGCAACATTAACTTAAAATTATTTATTCGTAACTATTGGTCAAAAACAAGGATTGATTTAAGTAAATTAAAATGATTTATTGAGTTAAGTTTACTGGGATAGTTGGTACTTAAAAAAATTAAAAAGCTTTGTGCTGAAGCCTGAAAGAAGTGTTTTGAATGTTTAAATCATTTGAAAGATGATCCTACCTGGTGAATTGGCAACCCGAACTCCTATTAAACTTTCTATTCTGTTGGTACATATATTCATTGCTTGCAAATTTGTGAACAGTACACCCTCAATTCAACGTGAATTTTTCGTTCTTGTTATCAGATGACGAAGAATCGATGCAATGTTTCCTTGCTGGCTTGGTAATCAAGAGCTTAAGCATAAGGTACCCTTTATTTCGTCTGAGCTACCTGCTTCATCTGCTGGCTATGGTTCTTGCTTACATTATATGACATTCTTTCGCAGCACCTCAAACTGGAGATGCACCAAAACTCTTGAGGATTATTTAACAGAGAGGAACATCATGGGAATATGTAAAGCTCTAACCATTGTCATTTTGCTAAAATTCGATCAAATTAAGTTGCTTGTTTATATTTTAATATAATCTATCCATATGTGCCTTTTGATTTAACAGATGATGTGGACACTCGTGCAATTACTCGGAGATTGAGGCAGGATGGAAGTCTTATTGGCGTGCTCAGCACAGAAGAAGTGAAGAGTGATGAAGAACTGCTTGAGATGTCCCGCTCATGGGATATCGTAGGTAATGACTCACCCTCTAGCCCTATATTAATGATCTCAGATACTTGAGAAAAAGTATCGCTTAATTGTTTTCGCCATGTTTTGGCAGGTGTTGATCTAATAAGTGGTGTCTCGTGCACTGAGCCTTATGAATGGGTTGATAGAACAAAGCCAGATTGGGATTTTAATAATGAAGGAAGAGGAGAGGTCTTCCATGTAAGTGGTACTCCATGGGTTTATGTTCATATTTGTTTATGATAATCTTGTATGCTCTTTTGACGGTTAGGTGTTCCATGAATTCAAGGTTGTTGCTTATGATTTCGGGATCAAGCATAACATACTGAGACGTTTGGCATCATATGGCTGCAAAATCACCGTAGTCCCTTCAAACTGGCCAGCTTCAGAAACTGTAAAGATGAACCCAGATGGAGTTCTTTTCAGCAATGGCCCAGGAGACCCATCTGCAGTTCCCTATGCCGTTGAAACAGTCAAGAACATAGTGGGTAAAGCTCCAGTTTTCGGAATTTGCATGGGTCACCAGTTGCTTGGACAGGCATTAGGTGGCAAGACCTTCAAAATGAAGTTTGGCCACCACGGAGGAAATCATCCGGTTAGGAATATTCGAGCTAACCGTGTCGAGATTAGTGCTCAGGTTAGCACTGCATATTAAACCGTTACTTAATTACCTTCAATATTCACAGAAACCAATTGGTTTTCAGTTTTGATCTTCCACTGTCGTCTCTATTTGATTGATAAATTATGACCCTGAATTTTTCTCCACTCCGATTCCATGACAGAATCATAACTACGCTGTCGACCCAACATCACTCCCAGAAGGCGTAGAAGTGACTCATGTCAATCTTAACGATGGCAGTTGTGCTGGGCTTGCTTTCCCTGCATTGAAAGTGATGTCTCTTCAATATCATCCCGAGGCGTCTCCAGGCCCTCATGACTCAGATTCTGGTAACTAACTATTTCCTCCCCTTTCATTTCAGTCATGAGCCTGTGTCCCCTTTGCTTTCCTATCCCTTCTACCGTTGCAGCAGTGACTTCACCATTTCCCTTTTTCTTCATGCACCAGTCTTCGGAGAATTCATCGAGCTAATGAAGCAATCCAAACAACAAGCATGAGCTACATTCCCTCTGCACCAGTTACGCTGAATGCTAGTAGCAAGAACAGAAGTGGGGTTGCGTTTACCAGTAGATCAGTTAGATCGTCTATATATCAGTTACTCCGACAATATACTCCGCAGTTGAGCTTTCTTCTATCTGAATCTTTGTATAACAGAACCCATAAAACGTTGGGGGAGATCAGAGATAAATGTGGTTTTGTGTTTGTCACAGACATGATTGCTCGCCGCATTGAAAAGAAACCAGCTATTCTGTACTACAATCTACAACGAACAACGAATCCGTACCACAGACGATCTGTTGCGATTCAAATATCATTGTCGCCATCAAGAACCAACGAAAGAAAGAAATCAACCATACTGCGTGCCTTGCCAACACGATTCGAGTAATGCATTTATCTTAGTTTCGACGAATGATCCCCTCGAGTTTACCTGCTGTCATTTTCAGATCACAGTTCAGAAAAACTCATTGCTAATAATGCCAATGAACATGAGTTTGTGTTCTGCTTATAATCGATGAGATGAAAGGTCGGTTGTTTTGGTGGGGTTATGATCTCTCTGTCGCTAGACATTAACTTCTGTTTTAGTCGGAAGTTTGGAACCGGCCTTAGAGAAAAAAAAAACAGAACCCATTACCCAATAATGGTTCAAGAAAAGGACAGGTCAGAACCCTCAGAATCAAAACAGAGGAACTTTTTCCAAGAACCAGAACCGAAAAAATTCTTATTGGTATCGATTGATGTTGATTGTGGAAAAGAGTGAATTCCCCTTCTCTTAATACACAAGACACAAATTCAACCTGAAAATGACCCCCCAATAATCAAGTGTAGTTTCTAAAAGGAATTCTGTGTTCTGTGTTACTAGTAGTACTTGTGTGGATAGAGTGACTTGGTACAATCCATTGTAATTGTAATATATGTAGGGGTGGCTATACGGTACGGTCCGGTTAAATTGGACCAAATTGATCCGGTTCCAGTCCGGTTTTTTCGGGAATATAAGGACCAAAGATTGGATTGGATACAATTCGGTCTTGATCCGGTCCTGTCCTAATTTGATCTTGATTTTAGGTGTTGGGGGTCTTTTATCCGGTCTTTATCCGATTTTTTTACCTTAAATCTAAGCCCGAATATGAGATTGGATTGTTTGCTATCCGGTCCCAGTCCGGTCCCGGTCCGGGTTATATGGTCCGGTTTCGGGTAAAACCAAACAGTCCCGGACCAAATAGTCAGCCCTAAATATATGTATAGTTACGTATCTGAGTTTATATCTAAGTATGTCTTGATCGAGTCAACCAGTTAACTCCTAACCAGTTGTTGCTGCTCGATTACGACGGGTTAGGGTTCTCGACTCAGTCTTCTTCTCCTTATTTGAGACCCATGTATATAAGCAACATCGTGAAAGATGGTATGATAAAAAAAAACTTAATACACATATTCATGGACTTAAATCGTGTTTGTGGGCAAAACAAAGTACATCGATTGAGGACTTGTTTAGTTCATGGTTCTTTTTTTAATCAGCTATAACTCGTCTCGTAGATGGAAGTTGTAAAAAATAGATATGATTACTTACCGTTGCATTGCATGATTTCCTAGACAAATTAGTTTCCTGATTTCCCAAGTCAATCAAGAACTAATGTGAAGATGTTATAAACCTAACTAAAACCAATAACTCGAATTGTTGAAAGAAAAGAATCATGTCACAAAGTGGATTGTAAAGGAAGAAAAGAGAAAACCTAAGACCGAGTCCAAAAGCAAGGGAAGGTTTTTCCTGCTGGTTGGGGCTCGACGGTGTTGAGTTTGGACTTTGCATTCTTGGACTAGTTCTCCCTGCATTTTGATTCAAGCTTTGTAGATGTCAATTTTGATATGACATGTCGTTTTGATGTGCGCCTCGATTCGTTACGTGTAGCATTGTCCATCTCGTTAGCAAGATTTGAGTCTTTCGTCTACACTCCAATTTTAGCATTGTCCATCTCTCAAAACATGGTATATGGGGTCTGTGCAAACTTCAAATTCACGAGTCGGCTTTCGTTAGAGGGGGCGTGCAATTGAAAGTGATTAAGTATCATACATGGGTCTCTCCCAACAATTCGAGTTATTGGGTTTAGTTAGGTTTATAACATCTTCACATTAATATCGAGCCAAGTTTAGATTTTTTTTTTTACCTTCTTCAATATAGTTAGTTTTCATAGCAAGGTGGAAGTGGGATTTTTTTTTCCGGTCATTGTTTTCTTCATTAGGGTGCCATGATGGAACTCATGAATTAATTCATTAGAAGAACATTTGCAATGTTTTTCAAACTTGGAGAGCTCCTTAGGGCCAAGGTTACATATACTAGTTTTGCATTTCTTTGAACAAACAAAATTAAGGAAAGGTGCAAAGAAAAGTCTAATACACAAAAGAAGACGTCGTAGTTGATTGATATATATTTAAGACGATCATGCATGTGTATTTGTGAAGAATCTAAAAATAATGCATGGATTAGCAATGAATTTTAGCGGTGGATACCATACCATGTGCTTAAGAAAATATGAGATATTGAGATTATAGAGATAATTGACATCTCGATCATTGAACACTCTAATATCATGTTAAAATTCAGTTACTCTCAATAATTCAAGTTGTTGAGAGATGTTCAATTATGGATCATGTATAACTTACTAACACACCCCACAAACGAAAGCCTATTCATATGGACTTGCAGTATACACAAGTCTGAATACCATGTGTTAAACAAATGTGGAAATTAAATCATCTGGATCCGAACATAAGACCTCTCGATCAATAACTCGAATTGCTGAGAGAGGTTCAATTATGGATCTTGTACGCATACCATTTACTAAGGAGACGTACGTAATTAACTAAGTTTTACGTGCAAATACTTTTCTACTTAAGCGCAGAAGCTATATATGGACTTTTGACGTTTCCCCTGCAGTTCTTTTTTATACATTTCTTCGACACATGCATGTTAGTTGCCAACGAATTTCGTCGTGGACGACGTCAGGATTTGTATGTCACGGTGCATTGCTAAGGAATGGAACGTAGTCAAAAACATCAATTCTTTTGTTTTTTCAAGGAAAGGAGAAACTAAAAAAAAATAAAAATGATTATATATATATATACCCATTGAAGAGACAACCTAAGTCAGTCTACCCATACGATTCATGAACATAACCACAAATAATTCATCCGAACACGCGTACATACTTATATTATCGAAAATTCTCCTATTATTGTATTGCTATAAAGGCTAATAACATCTATAAGTTGTCGATATATTATTAGAATTATACAGTCACAAAAATTAACGATATCCAAAAAGTATCCATATTGTTAGAGTTAGATACAAAACTATTAAGGATTCAACTAGATCCTTGATAGAATCATCATTACAAATTTACAATTCAAACAAAGACAACGTATCGTTGATTCTTGAAGAGAAAAAAAAACTATATCTATAATGGTTGATCAATGACGACTAGCTTTGCAAAGTCGAAGTTGCATGTATTATATATAATCACCCAATTACTAAACGAAATTAATTAATATAATTGTGCAAACGTGCACATGCATTTTGGCCAGAATAAATAATAATCCACCTTATAATCAATTATTTAATTAATAATAATCTATATATAGGAATAGATCCAGTTATCTAACTTCTTGGTAGCTAATCTGTCCCCGACCTTACATGATCTGTTGACCAATCCCACCAACCAAAAGTCTCTTTGACCATTTAGTTTATTTGATGTAATGAAGTTAAATATCACAGATAAAATTACAACGACTACTAGGATTTTTATATATTTTTTGCCATAACAACGACTACTTGATTTGCTTGGTAAACTTGAAAATAGCAGTATTTATACCAAGAAATATTGAGGAAAAATGTGTAATAGTATTAATTAAATTAAACAAGAAGACAAATTTATAAAAAAAAGTTAATGTAGCTATAATCATGGAGGATGAAAATGCGTTGTTTCGTAGTTTATAGTTCTGCTTAATATTTATTAAGCAGAACTTGTTGTCGATCCACAAGACCCTTCACACTCTAGCTAAAACAGTTGCTGAAAAGTTTTGTGCATTATCTTGCTCCGTTCTTAATAGGACAAGGGGATTTGTGTGCTTTGCTTTTTCTTCATCACGGGTTTGCTAAATCTATCGCCAAGCAGAGCAAACTTAGAACCAAACTAGCATGATATTCGATTCGATGTGAGCTGGTCCAATAATGAATCATAGAAGACATGTTCTACAATTGAGATGGTAATAAAATGAAATGATCATAACATTATTGTTTAAACACTAATTTGAAATAAAACTATCTATTGACTCTTCATTTTTTGTATTATGCGAGTAAACATTTTTCAGCCTTCATCATTGTTAATTCATTAAGGATCTCTTGTGTCATTTTATAACACAAATAGGGTTTTTAGAACACAAATATGATTTTAATGATTAATATACATGCATCATTGATATATACTTGAGAATATGACCAATGACTAGCACTAATATGAATTAATATATTTTTCCTGATATTGTGGGATCAAGACCAAATCACATTATATCCTACTCGGTGTGGTCTGATCCAAATAGTGACATTGTATGGTGCAATCTGGTTCGGACTAAACCGTTTGCAACATCCCTAGCCCAATAGTCACGGTCAAAAGTGACAAAAAAAAAGTATTGTACGAAAGTATAGAGTGGAGAACATGCATCTAACACAGTTTGTGAACCAAAATGAGTAAACGCTATAGCTAGTGGCCAAAATAGGGTTTAGATAGAATAGAAGCTTGGGTTCTTTTGCTCTGTTCTTTCTTATCTTTTTGGGTTTAGTTCATGGAACTATGGCCGGGCTGCCGACTGAAGAGAGTACTGGCAAGAAAGAGTCAATCTGCCTATGCGTTGACCTCGGCGGTCAACTTTATCAATAGTACAGAATAATGCAACCCTAGATCCCTCCCAAAATCAATAACAATGCCATTGATTGATTCACACATGCATTTGCTTCCTTAACTACGTCTATTTTCCTCATAATACAATCAACTTCCTTAACAACATTAAGCTTAAATTAGTGTCATATTATGTTATGGCTAGTAATTTATCACTTCTGTGTTAATGACTACACACTCTAGGATGACACGTTAATTCGTACCGTCTCCTGTTTTTATTTTTTAAGAACGATTGATGCTACTCAAACGTTTTATTATGCACCAACATTCCTACCATGTTGGCTACCACTCTTTCGCTCGGTGAAGCACCGACCAGAATTGACTGAAACCCTTCAAAACCGACCTAATTAGACTAGATATATATGATCACATGCATGCCAATTTTGTTGTTTGTAAAATTCATGTGCTTCTCTTCTCCTTTTACATCATTCAATGCATTTTCCATTTGTTTCGATCAGTCGGCAATTTGGGGGTGTTGCTCTGTTTTCATGTCAATCTTCTGCCACCCTTTTCCTTCTTCTAATTGCATGGTAATGGGAATCTGACCGTGGCGTTATAAAATCTGTAATAGAGAAACGTGACAAATTTGGAAATAGACTAGTTGGGTGGCAGCCAAATGGCACAACATATGGCCCGACAACAACACTCCTGTCGGCACCAATGAAGGAATGACGTGGAACCAAGTTCATAGCATTTAGGAGGAATGCATCTGGTTCGAATTTAAAAGATATGGATGAGTTCATCATGAAGTTTTTGTTTCTTGATTTGATCAATGTTAATTTTTCCCCACTATTGTTTTGTAAAGCTGTATTAATTCATTTAGATAATTAGATTGAGTTTACGAGGATCGAATTGGCTAGTTTGGATTAACAGAAAGAAAGAGTTAGATTTGATCTTATCGAATTCATAATAAATTTTATTCGCGAAATGAAGATAAACCATGATGATTACTCGAACATATTATATTTTTTTTGTGTTACAATTTTAGGAGTGGTTGTTTCCATGTGGATGGTGTTTATATAGGTGTATTTTTTTTTAGTTTGTGCCCACTGTAATGAGAAAAACAAGAAATATACTGTTTGTCACGATTGAGATAAGAGATTAAAGTTTCTCTACGTAATCCAATTACTAAGGCTGGTACAAGGTCTCATACTGCATTTGCTTTTTAGTTCGGATTCTGTTATCAATATCAGGAGGAACATGTTTTCGCTACGATTATCAATCTGAATACCGCGCTTAAATACCGATTATTTAATGTTATATATGAATTATCGCTCTTTTGATACGAAAAGTTCGCTCCGACGTTGAATTTTTTTCGCAAGAAAAGGTAAAAAAAGAAAAGAAGATAGGTGACAATTGAGAATCGAAATAGGGATTAGTAGGTCTTATTAGTCATCATGATTTCTGTTTGGATCTTACTTACCAAGTGGGTGTTATATAAATTATCGTCGTCACCAAAAGTAAAACCATTGACAATACGAGTCTAGTTCAGCAACTTGCTCACAGCTCGGATTAATCTCATAATCAATCAAGTTTCAACCCTCCTATGGCTTCCCGCTTAAGATGAAAATGAAAAAAAGAACCCAAAACAAAAAGGAACTTGGTTTCCCAAGTTCACACCCAGTCCTACAAACCCATTTTGACCACCATGAATGGTATAGAAAGAGACACAGAAGGAGAAAGAGAGGGAAAATTCACAAGTAAGAATATTCTATTCCTTCACCAATAAACAACTCAAATTGATAGGATATGTATATATATATATAGCCTCTGAAAGTAGCCAGAGGTTGAGTCTCCCTTATTTTAATAATCTTTCGCCGCTCCTTTGTTCGTTCTGGAATTCTTGCTGCTGAAGAATACCACCGAACAAGCAAACAGAGGAAGAAGAAAAAAAACAGAGGCCGACTCAGATAGCTTGAACCGCCTCAGAATTAATTCTACCGCTGTAATCAAGTCGGCGGGAACGAGAGATTTAAAGGGTTTCCTTCCTTTCTTACGTTCATTCATTCATTCACTCCAACCAAAAAAAAAAAAAAAAAAAAGAAGCAAAGATCCCATTTTTATTTCCCCTGTTTCTTGCTTCCCCTGTTTTCCACCATCCCCTGTTTTCCTCTTTGCATGGTTGTGGGTTCGTTGATATGCACCCTGTACGTGATTATAGTAATAACGGAAGTAAGAGGAAGATGAAGGAAGAAGAAGAAGATGATGGGAACGGTGGCGGTGAGCTAATTGGTCCGCCATTAATGGCGGAGGAAGTGGTGAAGAATACTCCCAGGCACATGCTGATGTCGACGGAGAGCGAGATGGAGGCGATGGTCTCCGCTTTGACCCACGTCGTGGCTTCCGGCGGTGGTGGAGGAAGTGGTGATCAATTTCGCTACGAGAATGATGGGTTTGGGTTATTTGGAGCTCCTCCTTTTCTTCAACAACATAATCAATATCGTCATGTCGATTTTCTACTTTCTCAACAAGCTGCGGCACGACCTTCGCCATCTCCATTAGCTGCACAAGGTTAGCTTTTTTTATTTCTCGAGCACATCTAACTACGTCTAAAAACTAAAAAGTACCGGTGATCCCGGTTACTGTTGAATTTGTACCGTAACGTCAAAACATTAAGTTTATTTTTGTACTATATAATTATTTGTATGAAAATTATGTATAAATTAAATCCGTGTGAACTTCGAATATAAGTTAAATTTGTACAAAAATATGCTTATGTATATATTGAAGAATTATACTTGTATCTTAATATTGAAATTACAAGCCATAAATGATACAAACTTAACTTGTACTTCATGTTGTACCGTAAAAAAATTTATACGAAAAGATTCAAATCAAATATGGATCAATTTTAAATTTACATGTTCAAATTGTATCATAAATTCAAATTTGTACGAAAATGTATACGATGGGTATAGTATTTACTGATATTTCTCTCAACCAGGTAGCACATTCAACATCAATACTCCTCCGTCGCTTCCGCCGCCGCCATCAGGAGCAGCGCCGATGACGAGCAGTAGTACAACCACGGTGGTGTACGAACACACTCCGACCCCGTCGTCGGGCCACCACGGACCGGCAGCGGCAGAGGAAGGCAGCAGCGGGAGGAAGTACAGGGGAGTGAGGAGGCGGCCATGGGGGAAATGGGCGGCGGAGATTCGAGACCCGTTCAAGGCCGCCAGAGTGTGGCTGGGGACGTTCGACACGGCGGAGGCGGCGGCCAGAGCGTACGACGAGGCCGCATTGAGGTTCAGAGGCAGCAAGGCCAAGCTCAACTTCCCGGAGAACGTCAAGCTCCGGACCATCAACACAAGCAGCACCACGAGCAGCAGCAGCAGCAGTCACAGCAGCGGCGTGACTACTGCTGCTGCTTTTCCTCATTATGCTCACCACCACAACACCAACAACCAGACAAGGTTCATGAGCTTGTTGAACATGAACCGCGGCGGTGATCGGCAGCAGCAGCCGTCGAATTCGACTTCTCAGCTGGTGCTGGGAGTCGGAGGATACTACGATCATCATCATCATCAATCCTCGTCGCAGCTGTCTGATCAGGCGTCGTCGACGTATCTCGACCAGCTGCCAATGCAGGCGTATTACCCTCTGCTGCCGGATTTCCAGCAGAGTTCGCCGTGGCCGGCGACCCCGTCTTGTAATAGTGGTGGCGATTCTCCTTCAGGATAGTGTAGACTTCTGCTGCTTTCCTTTTTCTTCCTTAGCTGACCCAGCTGGCCCGAGTTGGTTTTTGTTCCAGAGAGTAGAAAAGAAAATGTAAGATGAAAGTCGTTTCGATTCGATCATAAGAGCCATGGTTTTCTCAAGTTCTTTCCGCTGAGCTATGGTGTAAATATAATAATAAACGAGTCGAAGCGTAATAATCAGAGTCGAAGCCATTAGCCAGCGGAGTTCTAAAACTGCGTACTAAGGTGCGCGAATCCGGAAAAAGTATACAACAAGTTTTGTCTGATTAATGTCTCACTAGCACATCCCCGGAAACACAAAAGGCAATCAAACTTCAGGAAGAAGGGGGGAACTGAGCAGGCCGCCATGCATGAATCAATCATCGACCTGGTCAGGAAAGGAAGAACATTCTTCTGAAAGCGAGCTGCGGGCTTGGCCAAACTGCGAAAGCTAAAGGCGTCAAGTTGGGTTTCATCTCATCATAAAGCTAAAGAGTGAAATTAGCATAAAAGGAAAACAGGGTTGAGGATGTGTACCTGAAAATTCTCACCACGGGGTTGGTTAATGTTCTTGTCAGACTTTCAGGGCGGCTTTGTGAACCATGGTTTCTTTGTGGATTTGATGGCAGCTCTTCTCGACGAGATCGAGCAGCTTCTCCAAGTTCACGGCCCAGGAGTTGAGGATGTCGTTGCTGTCTTTCGCTACTTGGAAGCTGATGACTCCCATCGGCCTGTCGATCTTGGCTATCAGTGCCTTGGACACCACCATCTCCGAAAGGTGCTTCTCCGTTTCCTGAAATTCAATCGGGCAGACCAAAAAATGAAGGGAGGGTACTTGCAACAAGTTTAGATGTTATTCGCCGAGAGCAAAGTGTTCTACGACAAGTGAACTTAAATTATGCAAACAGTGGGCGGTAAAATGCACATGCAATGCAAACCAGTTTATTTTGCTAAGGAAATATAGCAGAGGAAATACAAATGCTTACTGGAATGCTGAGACACAACAACTCTGCCAATCTCTTGACGGTAATCCTCGAGTAATATTTAGAGACGACCAGGATATTCTGAAAGAAAAAAGGAATCACTCGTCATAAAAAAACTTCATCATGAGATGCGAATTTATTCATTGGCATAAGGTTAGACGTGAGAAACTTACATGTTCAATTACTCTTTGCCTCAGATCTTCAGCTGCTTTATCCACTAAAGAACCTCCAAGCAAATTCTTCTCGCTGTCGAACTCTTCCTTGTAACTATCCCATAGGGACGTCCATTGAACAACCTCCATCGTGACCAGTTGTTTCAACAACGTCCTGTGAGAGAACATCCGTCATACATCAGTATTTTGTCTGCTGAATCGTCTAAGTTAGTTGAAAAGTGAACACTACATACTTAAACTGGGGAATTTCAGAGAGATTTTTGTCTTCCAGGGTGGAATTGAGAAGACTCGACTGCATCGGATCATGTGGTGCCAAAACTAGGTACCAGCAGATTTTCCTCAGGACCTGTATTACAGAACCAATCCATTAGAACAGCCTGGAAGAGGAGCACAAGAATCAAGTGAGCATAAAAAGTGTAGCCAAACTGTTACCTGTGTCCACTGGGCTGGATCTTCCTTCACGGCAGGAATCTCATATATTGACTTGTAGCAGCGGCAGATCTCGAGGTACTCATTGTTATGGGAGTAATACCTAGAAAAACCAGACAATACAAATGTCATCCCATGAAAATTAAAAAGCAAATATGATGTTACTATGAAGCAGTTCTAATCCTTAGATATAAACAAATGCATCAATCCGAAACTACGGATCAAGCCTCTAGCCAAGCAGGTTAAAGTAAATTTGCAGTATATTATATGCTAAAGCAAAAGATTCAGATGGTTCAAAAGGGTATCTAAGGGGGGCCAAAGAAGAGGTGGGAATAACACATTATTCAGGCCGTTTTGAGACAAAAGCAACTTTTTACTATCGTTCCTTGACAATTCAGACAGGATTCATTGCAAAAGCAAGTCCAACCAGTTGCCACAAGCCCACAACTAACTACAAAAGCAAATTATGAGCAGCCAAGGGAAACCACTTTGCACGATTCAAGAAAGTATGCAAACATCACAGGTTCCAGAGGAGATATGAAACGGGGAGAAACTACTAACCTTATCATCAATTCATAGTAGATCCGCTTCAGCTCCAGCAGGGATGGAATATCAGCAGGAGCCTCTTCAACAACATTATCACCTTCCTTAGGCTTCTTCTTCGTCTTAGAAGTATCGACATCAAACACCCTTGTGCTGATTTTCCTCGACAGAATTTGAGCACGGATATAATCTTGCCTGTCTAAGCATAAACGAACCTGCAAAAGAATCAATTAGGGTAACAGTCCTAATATGATGAAGCATAAGATACTACCACACAGGCATCTCGATAATATACAAAGCATTGATGAGCACCAATCATAAACCCCCCCTTGTAATTATATTTTTTGTTAAATCCAGGATTCGACAAGAGTTATTCCATCAATGGGGCTGACGGATTAAAGTGGAAGCTGTAATGCAACACTTACTTGTTCAAGTATGAAGGCAATCTTTTCAGTCTTCGCCATAGCACCAAATGTTTCAACCTGGAAGATAATTGCGCCGAACAAGTGTCAGAAGAAAAAAATTGAAAAAAGAAGTGGTCATTTTTACACAGAAGAACGGAGTATTATTCTATGTACACAAACTTACTGCAACTTCTTGCATCAGATCAGCAGCTTCAGCTATAAGGCCTTGTTCTTCTTTAATCTTGGCTAGTTTCTTTACCAAGCGTGCCCTCTCAATTTCAACATAAATCTGAAGCACAGCAGAGTTGTTAAACAAAGAGGAAAAGGAACCCTCAGCTCACAGTATATAAGATGGTACTCTCCTGTCATATAAAATCTCACCTTCCCAGCAGATACATTGTTCAGGGTCTTAATGAGTTCTATGCGGGTTTCAACATCTGGTGTCTGATCAATATACTGCATTGCTTGCTGCACCATTGCAGATACAGCCTGTAGGAAAAATAAAAGCCTGATAAATACATGTCCTACCCAAAACCTTTGAGAAAAATAGATCGGTATTACCGAAACTACGCTGACACAGACAAAGAGCTCTTCTAAGAAAACATTTAGAAGCTTTCCCTACATAGACTACTACAACTAGAATCCAAAATAAAACTTGTTCTGCCTGAAATAAAGAACCCAACTGGTTATTCCCCATCCAAAACCTAACCTGAAAAACCCTATGAGTCGTGCATAGGTTTGAAACTTTCGTATACAGATGAACCATAAACAGGGAAATACTCCAATCGCAAAACTGAAGAGTTAAGATCCCAGGTCACCTAAAGAAGTAAGATCCCTCCTACTCCGTTCTTCCAGAACTAGACCTCGCTTCCAAGCAACAGTCCAAGTCATTCAGGAATTTACATGCTGATCCAAACATGTAAGAGTAATACACACCGCTATGCTCGTTGATACAAGAGCGATTGTTGCACAGAAAATCATCGCATGAACATATTCTATTAGCTCTGTCATGACATCAACGAATCTACCAGCAAAACAATTAAGAATTAAAATGGCAACATTCATCTCACAAGAAGCCCCAAGTCAAAGGAAAACAGAGGCCTAATGTATGACCTGACGAGCTAACCACAGCCAAACAAAGTAACAGTAACTAAGCAAGGCCCCAATGACAGCCAAGTCCCCTTCCAGCTGAAGCAATTGCGGAAATTTTGTGGCTCCTAGACCAACAAATTCAGCTAATACAAACACTAATTCTCTACTCCGCGCAAAAACACGAGCCTGAAGCTAAATTCCACTAAGTTCTCAATTTACCTGCTTGAGCTGACCGCGCTTCTTAGAGAGGATCAAAATCTGGTCGTTCAGCGACTTCCAGTCCTTAGCCTGGAAGCAGAGCTCCAGAATTTCGGTGACTGCCTGCCTCGTGGCGGCGACCTCGCCGGCGAGCCTCGCCTGCTTCTCCGCATTCTGCAGCCGCTCTATGGCCGCCTCCAAATTCGCACTAGCGTCCTGCGATTCGCACAAAAAAAAAGGGAAGAGAATATCAATCGATGGAGAACGAGAACCGGCGCTCCAATCGAGAGAGAGGAACAAGCTATAGCTCTCAGATCTGTCAGAAGCGCGCCGAGCTCTCACCATTCTGAATCGGATGGAAGCTCCGATAGACTGTAGATTGACGATGAAAAGCAACCCTAGAACTGGAATGGAGCGAATCGGAGTGTTTTTTGCTGGTTTTCTATGATTTTTTTGGTATAGATGGGAGTTTTTATTTTGTTTTAAATTTTAAACCCTCCCGCAAGAAACCTTCTTATGCTGAAACGGGCCCGTTTAGTGTGGACCAAAACATTGCCCACCTATTCTTCAAATAAGCTATTGGACAATGTGGAATTTGGTAGTTTAGTCCTTCCAAAGATCAACCTTCAAGAAGGATATAACTCATTGCTCAATATCAAATCACATCCATTCTTAAACCAAGCACTAATCAACCAAGAAATCATGCTTATACATAGAGAGTTCCACTCGAAATCAACTCTCGAAAAATTTATGAACGACACGCTTTTTTTACGGATATCTCACATGTACGAGACTGAAAAACAAGTTTAACGACAAGCATGCATGAATTTTGACTTGGTTATAGATTATTCAGAAGGTAATTAAGTAGCATGGTGGAGGATCTAGGTCTTCTAGTAAGGTACAAAAGAGTCTTTGGGTGAATAAGGCTTAAAAATGGCTTGCATCAAGTAACTAGGTATCTCCTTAGTTTGGCCACAAAGGAAGCACATTTTGCTTGTGTGGTAGCAAAATAGATTATACATATGAAACAAACACTACAACCCATCCCAATGGCTCATGAGTAGGGGTGGCAGTTCGGTTATTTCGGTTATAACCGGTAACCGATTGGCCGGTTATCGGTTAACCGAAATAACCACCATCCCTACCGAACTCCGACCGAAATAGACTTTGGTTTCTCGATTACCTTGGTTATCGGTTACCCGAATCACTTTTAAAACCAAAAACCATTTCGTCCAGCCTTCGATAACCGACCGAAGTTCGATTACTTTGATTACCGGTTACCGGTTTAACCGATTGGTTAACCGGTAACCGAACGGCCACTCCTACTCATGAGTCTTGAAGAGCTCTAGAATCTCAACATTCATATGTAAAGACATAACCAAAACAATTGTAGACTTTCCATTTGGAATAGTACATCACATCTATAAGGAGGCCCTAACAAAATAGGGTGTAAGGACCTGTTTCATGCGAAATCAAATATCTACCGCCAGACGTGCCAATTTGTTTCAGGCGATGTTGTTAATCTTGCGACACCGCACCAATTTTGTATTTAAGGACAAATTATTTGTAGGTGTAAACATAACCATAATCGAATTGGCAAACTACAATTGTGAACGTACATCCACTTTCTTTGTGTTTCAACCTAGCTAGCTACCGTGTAAAGTGACTAATTTGGGTTTGACGATTTGGATTTGGTCTCATTCTTTTGGAGTTCATTGAACTTTATGATCAAAGTGAAAAGGGTGTCGGTCAAGGGAGGTAAATTTTCAAAGAAAGGAAACTACACATTCATACTATTTCGTGTTAAGTAGTGAAGATTGCATAGTCTCTTTCGGTGTATTGTAAAAGAATGTCGTTGAATTTGTTAGAGGTTAGCTTGCTAATTAAGTACCACAATATTCATTCTTCTCATAATTGGTAATCTTTAACAACATATTAAAGTTTTCCTCTTCGATCCTCCACGAAAATTTTCAAATGTTATCGATCAAATACTCTTTTCTAACCTATAACAACCAAAAAACTAATTACAAATTACGATTTTCCGTCCATACATTCTCTATATGAATGTCTAGGCAACTGATATGAGCTCGCCTTTCTATCGAACCGAATCATAAATAGTACAAATTTGAACAAATCAACTCATCCTTCTCCTTCTTCAACAAGTGATCAAGTCCACAAATAACTATTCAATAATAAAATCCAAAAGAAGCAAACCGCCATCTTTGAAAAAAAAAAGGTGCATAATAATGATCTCATCAAATTCCAACATTACCAATCATCTTTACTTGTCTAATCTAATCTCTCTCCAATATATCAAGCTGACGTTGGAGCCTTTTTCATTAACAGTCAATGCATTTGCTTTTAACCCTGGAAGATTGCCAAATAATGATGAGGATAATTAATTAATTATAATTATTGTTGTCTCCATATCTCAAGGTTTGATTTTAATGTGTGATTTGTTACATTGAATTGACTAATAATAAGACATTTTCCTACTAAGTGCCCCACCTTAATTAAACTTTCCTCCCAACATACCATTTACATGTGGGTACCATTCATGTCCACTATGTTCCCTTTTTCTTGTAAGTGTGAAAAAGCACCAATATATGTTAAAGAATTTACACTAATAAATTGAGGGGGGAAAAAAGCTTAATTATTCTCTTCTATTCCAACTAACTCTGCCTTTTGATTGGACCCTTTGAGTAACTATCTCCTTCTAGGTTTGGCTAGAAAAGTTGGAACTTTGAAACTTCCACACACTCTGTCTCTATTTCATGTGGGTATCCTTTCTGCATTTCTGGTATCACAAAGTCACTCGACCGACGAGGAGAGGAACACGAAAAGAATTGGTGGTTGGTTCGGAAAGAAATTTCGAAAACATATTCTTCGTTATGTGATCATTCTCTCATATGAACACTTATCGTTTATTTCTCAGAATAAAATGATTAACCCGAGAGTTTTGACTATTTGCCACACTTAGCTTGTGATTGACTACTTTAGAAGAACTTTTAGGACTTTAAGAAAAACATGAAGACAAGAAAAAAGGAACAAGACTTTTAATCTTGAGTGTGGTTTTTTTTATTACTTTTATAGTTGACTGTTACATTTCCTCCATAGACCAAACAACCAATGTGATATTCAACAACACTTCATCGACTCAGGTTTAGCTGATTACTTCAACCATTTTGAGCGTATGAAACTACAATTTTGATCTCCATGCAGAATAGAACACAAATCTCACGAGAAACAACACTAACACAAATAGTGAATCCTGTTGATAATCGAGTCTCACAAAAAGTATCTACATCACCTTTCCAAATATCCATAATCAATATTTAACACAAGCAATCTCAAATATGTATTGAATTGCCATCACAAATCCCTTGATCTTTCTAGTGTAAAGCACAAAACCCTTCTGATCATTTCAAGTAATGATGAAGTTCCTCTTCCACACATTTACATAATGGGTAGAAGAAGAAACAAAATTAAAGAAACCAATCCTTCCCCAATCTCAATCCCCATCTCCAAAATCTATCTCCACTAATTAACTAGCTATATAAATAGTATCCAATTTGTGTATATTTATATACTCCCATCCATAGCTATATATATTTAGCTCTATAAATAGCTCTAATCTACTAGCTAACTTTACCCCCCACCAACAAAAAAATTCAAAGAATTGTTCTTCCTGCCGCCGGTCAGTTGTGAATCGGAGGCTTCTTCCTCGCCGGAGTATAGTCCATCCCGGCGAGTTCGTCGGGGTCCGGCAAATGGGTTTCTTTCGATGGAACCTCCAAATTATGCTCCTTCGTCTCTACCGCTACTACTTCATGCTTCTCTTCACTAACCACTTCTTTCAACCTCCTTCCTGCTATAAACAAAAGCAAAAAAAACACAAGAACCTTCATCAGAAACACGATGGGTTGTATACAATGAACTCTCTTGTTCATCAAAGTATATATTCTCTTCATTCGTACATATGAAAGAGAACTATACGAAACTACTACGAGAGATCGAGTTGTAGATCGTTCATTACCTCGAGCACATGGAGAGATGAAGCAAAGCAAGAAGAAGGCCACCAGAAGGAGATGCTTGGTGAAGTGGTTCTTATGCATCCTTGACATTTGATGATGTGTATATGATGATGAAGCACTATGTGATTCCTCTTCTTCGGGCTCTTCTTCTTCTTCTTCTTCTTTGGATTGGATTTGCTTTGGTAGTTTCTTGTGAGTTTTGTTTGGTAAAAATGGAGCCACTAGCTTAAATAGAGAAGTGGTTGAAGAAGAATGAATGTACGGTAGGGATGGAGCAATAGCGATAGAGGGAGAGGTTTTGGAAAATGTGTTGCAATCCGATTTATGATTGTGACTTCTATTTTTTTTTTCTAGTTGAGTATAAATTATAATTCTAAGCAAATTAGAGGCCAAGGCCAATTTTTGTAGGGTCTTGTGAAACCGTCATGGTCGATGTCTCACTAGTGTCTTTGCATGAAAGTGCAAAGCTATAGCCCAAGACAAGAGATGTCCTCTCCAATCTCCAAATGGGTTCCATTTTGATTTTTGAGAAAAACAAAGAAGATATATGGCAATGAGACATGTGTGTAGTACTCTATTGGCCTAGAAACAAATTTAGAGATTTGGAATCTTCTCCCGGATTTGGATCAGGCGCGACTGCGTTATGAATAGTAGTAGATAAATCAGATTGGATTTCCAAAAGGACAACTAGATTTGAGCCGAGCACTATGCATCCACCTCCAAAGTAGTGAAAGAGAATATGGAATGCCACCTCAAGATGACAATTGCTTCATCGCTTGCTCCTCCTCGCGACTTATACAGGAGGAGTCGACAGAGACAATGGATTCTTATTGGAATTCAAAACTGTCACATTAAATTAAAATTTTCTCTTTTGTTGTAATATAGTCGTGGTTGTAGCTAGTTTGGGGCTCTCGTAGAACTTCCATAAAAATAGTTATAATTTGCGAAGTTTTCAATAAATCTTATATGATAATAGATTAATTTAACTTATAGATTACAATCATAGAAAAAAATACTTGTTTGAACTCTTGTTCAAAAGGTTAGAGGTGCAATCCATTGATATTAGTGATGAAATTTTAGGGTTAATTATATGATCGTGTTTAATGAGATTAAGATGATCCAAACATTTAATTTATGGAAGGGGGAAAAGCCGACATGGATTGATGGTAATATGTAATATCGACCATTTTCGGATAAGCTGCTGAAATATTGTTTTTTGATAATACCAAATTAAGACGTTAATATGGCTCCAAAAGAAAATCACGTGATAGGCAGTATGCATGCATGGGGCCCTCTTTTTTCTGGACCCAAAAATCAAGCTCAATTAGCATTTAATATGACTAATATTTGCTAACTAATAATGCCTTAATGATTTTTTGTTTCCTAGTGAATGATTGATTAGCTAACTGGATTACATACATGACAACTCCAAAGTCCAAATCGATTGCAGACAGAAAGATTTTCCATGTCAAACAATTTTGATCTAGCTCGATTAGTTTAAGATAGCTATTGTGCGAATGATGTGCTATATTTTCGGGGAGGAAAAAGCGAGATTAAGTTCTCTTTATCGTGAATTGTACTTGTTAATGTTTTAACTTTAGGAAAACTATTATTATAATTGGGTACGAACTGTATTATTTGAATAATTTGTCCATTATATTTCTCTGTTAGATTACATAATATCTCATACGTAGTCACTTCTTTCACGCATAAAATAAGTTTTTTCAGCTTTTTTTTTTGTTCTTTTACATCACATATTTGAATCAATTGATTTGGTCCAACTCTTACCTAACTATTGAGTATTAGAATGGCATGATCGCTCTCTCGCTCCACCATGAATTCGCGTTATTGGTGCGCAATTACAAACCATCTCTATATTGGTTCGATATCAAAGATATATCAATGTTAAAATCTCTCATATATTCTGCAATTTAGAAATCTTGGAAATTGGAAGGCATGTCTGCATTCTTTCTTTTTCAAAGTTTTAAGGTAACCAAATCGATAAGAACAAGGATAAGAGGCCAATATTTTGTCAAAACTTTTTGTGGGCTAAAATACTTAGACATCCTTGTAAATTAAAGAGTATAAAATAAAATTCACATTATTAGTTTCCCCAAAAACAAAAACAAAAATGAAAGGGATTGTGCACAAAGTGACAAAATAAAATGGAATAGTCAAAATCCCTAATCACATGGTTGTTTCCATCTCCAAATCTCATCATGTCCAAATTTGACTCTTGTGGCTTCACTTACTTGTCAACAAGAAATCAATTTATTGTTCACCTATATCTAATATTCAATTCAATGTTCCTATTGTGAAGGGAATATTTAATATATTCCTTTGTAAAATTAGATATAATTTTGTGTTCCATGTTGGGTTTTTGATAGAGCAGACAGTATGGTTGGGCTTGGGCCCTCCCTTGTAACCCAGAAATCCAGCCATGATCGAATTATACGTTATTGCCATAGGTGATGGGAATCTTAACTGCTAATGAGTTTATGCAAATCATGATAAAATGGGTCGAGAACGAGGAGGGATAATTGAGCAGGACAAGGTCGGAAGCCATACTCATGTTCCACCTCATGCTACCACATGCTGAATATATAATACTAGCTCATCCCAAACAAGTCGAGACATATCAGGTCGCACGAATCAGTTCAGAAATTGTCATCACTATCTATGAGGAGGGTTAATCACTGTTATTACTCACCGAGGCCTGATAATATACCAAAAAGAAGTTCAATATATAGCTAGTTGACAAAAATGTCTTATCTTAACTCATACAGGATCCAACGAACTAAGTTGTAATTAATAATGTACCAACACTTGATCATTATATATAGTGCGCGGTCGTATAAAGCTATGCACAAACCCTAATCCCTCGCGCCAAGCACGAATTGATGTGAACGTACAGTATGAAATAATAAACCCCCAGTTTCGTCTTCCGCAGAAACGACACGTATGTTTCGCAAACTTGTTTCTGATCACTTTGGTACGTAGTACTAAATATGAAGCGACGGCGGCGATGGCGACGGCCATGCATTCAGCAATTATGGGGATGTAACGTGCCGTACGTCGCCGGTGGCCGCGCTGATGAGAAGAACCCGCCAAATGTCGATGTTACGTTGGAGCAGACATCACATTCGTTGGCTTAATTGTAGTGATATATAATTCATGGGACATCGTTAATCTGGTCGACATAAACGAATTCACACCAAAAATCACATGCCACGCTCACGCATGAACTGTACACACAATAATAGTGATATTCACAATTGAACAGCTTCCAACCATTTGAATTATTGAAATCAACTAATTCCCGACACGCGATATCATAGCATTCTGTCAGCACGAAAGATCTTATGTTCGAATCCTGACAACTCCATTTAGTTCTAAACGCATAGTATTTGTTACAGGAGACGCGTGTCGGTAAACGATGTAAGATGGGTGGGCAGCTCCGTCTAGGGCCCACTACGATGTGGGGTTGTGGAGTGTGGAAGGGAGAAGGTCATTTTCACAAAAACCTTGATTATCGTTGTATTTATTTGCAATTGGGAGCTAGGGACGGTTGGGGAGGGAGAAGCTAGGAGGACAGAAGGAGGGTGCATGGTGGCCAATTGGCCATGCATGATAAACCAAATTCCCAATGGGGACGACGACTGAGAGTGAGAGAGAAAGGGAAGAGGATGATCGAGGTGGCCTCACGTGGCTGTGTTTCCCATCTGCACGACTCGACGTTGACAAAGTCGGAGGTCGACCGACCGAGTTGCATGGCGGCATCTCTGTTCATGATTTGCTTTCATATATAACAACCCGGCCGGCCGGCGGTCGTCTCAATCAAATACGTAGCATCTTGACGCCTCAACATATAGGACTTTGTTTCGTAGTGACATTAATTCTCGATGACGTGGTTAAAGAAAGTGGTTGAACAACTATACCACACATGTTAGCTATATGCAATTTGCAAACTATATATGTCTTGACTATATATAGCTAGGTAGCTAGGCTCCGATGTGCTTGGGGTGGCAAATGTTTTGACTTGGCCAAACGAAACTCGAGCCATAACTTGGTGTGTTGAATCATTCGTGTTTGATGTGCATTAACGATTCGCATACTTCGTGGCCGCACCAAATACACATTGTATACATATGCAACTGAAGTGTGATGGTTCGATCAAGTTTTCTCATGTTATTTTGGAGGACCAGGTATTCGACTTGCTTACGAAAATTGTCACTAAGCATCGTTCTCATCTTCCACCGTAAGGCAAATTGGTGTTGAAAAATCATCATCAATTCGAGGGAGGTTGTTCGGAGCCCAAAGATTTATGGGATGTGGATCTTTTATGGGTTTAGTTAGAAATACTGGACTTTGACACTTCCAAATATATAGTCTCCTAAGTTTAGCTAGAACGATTCTTCATAACAAAACGATTCATTGGAAGATGAGAATACTGATATTGACAAAACCAAACAAAACTCAAACCTGTCACCGATTAATTGGATAAGCTTTCCCAAGGATTCAAGGAACATTGTGTAGACAACAAAAGAAACAAGACTTATATCGATCCTAGGTACGATTTCCCACGAAAGAAATAATATCGTTGTTTTTATAGATCGTGTCATATCGTGGCTATTACATTTCCTCCATAGACCGACCACAACCAGTGTTTCGATATTTCGTAGCATCCCATCGACTTCATTTTCTCGCATCACTCGACCATTTTGAGCCCGTGAACAAACAATTTCGATCTCCCGTACGTATGCAATTGAACACAAAGTTACGTTCTCAACAAACCGACAGTAACACACATAGTGTGAACTGCCTGCACAAATCCCTTTCTCATTTCAAGTAATTGACATGGTCCTCAGCCGTATCTTTACAAGACAACATATAAGACCCTCGTCTCTTTGTATTAGATAGAAGAGTGAAAAAAGAAACTAGTCTATTATACCTACACACTAACTAGATAAATAATATCCAAAAATTTGTGTATATCGATCCCCATTCCTGTATTCCCCCCACTAAAAAAAGATTTCTACAAAAATTCTGTTCCTCCGGCCGGCGGCCAATGATCAGTTGTGAGTAGGAGGCTTCTTGCTCGCCGGAGAATAGTCCATTCCGACGAGTTCGTCGGCATCCGGCAAATGGGTTTCTTTGGATGGGACCTCCAAATTGTCTAACTTGTTACTATGCTCCTTCGCCTCTACGGCTACTACTTCATGCTTCTCTTCATGACTAACCACTTCTTTCAACCTCCTTCCTGCTATAACAAAGCACAAACCAAAAAAAAACTTAATTAGACAAACGTTGAGTTGTTTATATGAACTCTTCGTACATATATAGAAAAGAACTATGAAGCTATCAAATATATATTGGATGGTAGATCGATCATTACCTTGTGCACATGGAGAGATGAAGCAAAGCAAGAAGAAGGCCGCTAGAAGGAGATGCTTGGTGGAGTGGTTCTTATGCATCTTGGACATTGATGAGTATATGATGATGATGATGATGATGGGCTATGTGATTCCAATTCAAAGGCTTCTTCTTCTTCTTCTTCTTAGGATTTGCTTTGGTAGTTTCTTGTGATTTTTGTTTGGGAAAAATGGAGCCACTAGCTTATATAGAGAATGGAAGAAGAAGAAGAAGAAGAAGAAGAAGAATGTGCGGTAGGGATGGAACGATAGAGATTGTGGAAAATGTAGTAGAACATGATTGTGAAACCGTCGTTGTCTATGTCTCACTAGTGTGTCAATGCATGGAAGTGCTAGCTAGCCCTAGACAAGACAAGACCCCTCCAATCACCAAATGTTGTTAAAAAATTAATTGAAAAAAAAGATATGTGTGATTTAGGTTGGGCGGTTGGCAATGAGTTGGTCCATACTGGCTGGACCACATCGGACAAAGTTTGATGTTTGAACCGGATCACACCGAATCGAATACAATTTGATCCGGTTCTTGGTCTCATGAATTTTATAATTACTGAGGAAAAATGGACCGAATTGACGTTTGGAACGGACCAAAGTGGATCAAAGCGGGCCAAATGCACTATTGGTCCGATCCTTGGTCCTGAGATATGTTTCACTACTGGAATGCGGTTCTCCTGAATTTTGTCTCATGAATTTTAATGTATTGTCTTGGAATTAAATTTAGCGATTTTGAGATCTACCTTGGATTTGGGTATGAATAATAGATGAACCATTCTGGATCATAAAATAAATAAAAAATGATTTTGGGTTATGATATATTTAAAAAATATACCTTGATAGATTGCATGTTTCCTCTACAAAATTTGAAAATTTGACTTGATTAGTGACTAAGAGATTACATCATCGATAATCTATCTCGAGAAAGATTCTGGAATCTATAGCATCGATCATACTTGTTTACATGAGTATTTGACAAATTCAACAAAATTTAATTCAACGAGGACAAGCTAGCCTTGTGAAATACTTTGATTATTTTTGCCACTAGATCACATTTGTGAAGGTTAGCAAAGTGGATATAGCATAGAGCTTGGACTTCAATTAAATAGCTAAGAGCCTTAAGTTTATAATTGAGGGGATGATTCTATATATGCATGGTATCAATTACCAAGTATGATTCAATCAGTAAGTTTATACTTGAGGGGATGATTCTATACCGTTTTGAATCAGATAATGCGATTTTTTCGATTGGACCGTCATTATTATACGGTGTAACAAACCACGGGAATGGAACACGTGGCGGCAGTTGGATGATTTTCAAAGTCTTATGTTAACTCAGTCGATAAGTACAAGGATAAGAGGCCAATAATTTGTCAAACCTATTGTGGGCTAAAAATTACTCAGAGGCGTCCTTGTAAAAGTAGAATGAATAGTTAAAACCCTAATCGCATATGGTTGTTTCCATCTCCAAATCTCAATCACGTCCCAATTTGTAGCAGACAGTATGGTTGGGCTTGGGCCCTCCATTGTAAACCAGAAACCCAGCCATGATCGAACCTCCTAATTAAGATGTTATCGGCTTTAATTAGGTGATGGGAAGCTTAACCGGTAATGAGTTGATCAATCATTAATTGTGTCTGATTTGATCCCAAACGTCATGCTTCAAGTGACATAATTATCACGAGAGAGGGGGTTAATCACTATTGCCGCTGAAGGAGATCCGGCAATCACTATAGTCTGAAATGTTAACGATCTCTCTCATACTCTGTAGATTTCTCTAAGGTTTATGTGAAGATAGCCTACTCTGACCTCGATCGGCCTTTTTCGCGTGTCAATCCAATCCAATTAGTAACAAAATCATCATCACACACAGTCACACGCAATCTTGTTAATCGGTTGCCATGGATATTGACTTATTCTAACTCATATTCGATCCAAACAGTTTAGGTTTTGACGTTCATCGCTTGATCGAATATGATCTAAGCTAAATTCTCAATCCCATCTACCTAGCTACGTACTACCTACGTGATAGTTGATTCGGGTAGGTTCATCATCTGATCAATTTCATTCTCAACTTTCGGTGAATTGACACATCACGACAACATCGACTCAACTAGAATAGCAGGTAGTTCAAGGCATCGAGTCTTACGCATCGAAACTCTCACAAGTGGTATTCTCTTAAACGACGACGACGTGAACGACACGACGTGGTTGTGTTGTGGGGTGGGGCAGCTCGGCCCATGGCTAGGCCCACTATGATGTTGGATTTGTGTGGAGCGTGGGAGGGAGGAGGAGGGTGCATGGTGGCCCATGCATGCATAAGGCCCAAATTCCAAAATGGGGACGACGACTGAGAGAGAAAGGGAAGAGGACGTTGCTCACATGGTCGTGTTTCCCATCTACACTACTCGACGTTGACAACGTCGGAGACTTTGCATGGCGGCATCTGTTCATGATTTGCTTTCATAATAATTAACCCCCGGCCACCGGCCGGCGGCCGGCCCGATCTCAATCAAATACCATCTTGACATCTCAACAAAGGATCGGATTTTGTTTCTCTTTTGTCTTCTTCCCTCTGGTTCCCAAACATTTCCCTATCTCTTGGAGAGATTTCTGTTAGTGACATTTCTTGATGACGGTTTAGAAAGTGGTTGAACGATAATGCCACATGTTAGGATACAATTAATTTACAGCTAGAGGTGGCAATTAGGATCCAATTGGATTGGTGGATTCATGGATCAATCCATGGATCCAAATGGCAAATTACGATTTGATACCTATATTTTTATATTTTACATTTTGGTACCTAAAATTTATATTTTTATACGAAAAAAATCATTGGATTACATTTTGGTACCTAAAATTTTTCATTATGACAATTTAATACCTAAACTTTTTCAAATTTTACATTTTGGTCCAAGCCTTGGATGTCATTTGGATTCATGGATCAATCCACCAATCCATTTGATCCAATCCATGAATCCACCAATCCATTTGATCCAATCCATTTGATCCATGGATCCACCAATCCAATCCACGAATCCACGAATCCGATCCAATTGCCACCTCTGTTTACAGCTATATGTCTTGATTATGCGAACTTTGAGGTGGTTCAGTCAAATAAAGACGAGTATATAACTTGATGTTTATCATTATCATAATGTGGTCGTTAAATCATTCGAGATATTAATATTTATTCGATAAAATTACTAGGTAGGGCTATATGAGAAAATATCATGAGAATATATACCATAGATATACATAAAACAAGATAATACCGATTACGGTTATGTATATATATCATAAACTATATCTATTGCTACCTATATGAACTCGAACTCCCGACCTCATGATACCTTATCAAATCCGAAGCCAATACGGATTTTACTAGTTGTAATTGCACATTATGAAATATCATTATTTTAACTTTTACGATTTTATAGCTTAATAAAAATATTATATTTTACATGAAATGTACAAGTTAATTACTGATCTAAGTCTAATACCTCTATTAGATAGCTTATAAAAGACCAGTTGGAAATTTTCTTATTTCTTATATGTTTTTTCAAATGACAAGATTTAACTCAACTATCAAATAAATTGTATTTAATTTTTGTAACTTACTATCTTTGATTTAATTATCAAATAATAAAAGGAAAACTCATAAACAGGAAGATAATGAACATTGAAAATAAGTTAAATGACTAAAATGAAACTAGTAAGGAATTTCAGTGATGATACGAAGCATTTTGGCTATCGCCTCTTCGGCGAAAATCCTAACTTCCACAATCCCGCGCTTATTCGAAAATACCAATCCAGAGACGAAAAACCGCACTCTCACTCCCTCTCTAGCTCGCTCTCCGGCGGTTCCGTCGAATTGTTCCAGCATTCCTTCCCGTCTTCAGTCAATGGCGGAGAATCCGATCCTTCTCTCCGACGAAGACGCCGACGATCCAGGCACTCCGATTCCACCCCTCTCCAAGAGGCTCCGTGCCGCTCGAGCGGAGCTCGGCCTCGACCCGGCCCCTACCATCTTCCTCATCGACGACGATCCCTCTCCGTTCAAGCCGGCGCCGAATTCTTCATCCGCTCTCTCTGTCGTCCCGGAAACTCCGATGTCTGATGTCGCCGCTGCTGGGAGACGCACGGTGGACCTTTCGACTCCCGAAATTAGGGTTCCTGATTTCGGCGTCATCGGTGACGATCCCTCTCCGTTCAATCCGAAGCAGAATTCCTCATCTGCTGCCACTGTCGTCCCGGAAACCCCGATGTCTGATGTCGCCGCCGCTGGCAGATGCACGGTGGACCTTTCGACTCCCGAAGTTAGGGTATCTGATTTCGGCCGTAAGATTTCTGGTACGTCTCTGTCTTTACTTAGTCAAGAGGACCCAGAGGAGTTTCAGTTTTTTAGTGGCTGTTTTTCCGCATTTGAAGAAGTGCGAGTTTCGTTCTGTGTTTGTGTATTGGAAGGAAATGGCGGAGTGACGCGCTTGGAGCCGGAACGTTTCGAGTCGGTTGATTGCTCTGGAAGTGGAAATTGGCGGGAGAATGAGACGGTGGATATTGACGATGAGGGCGATGATGATGAGGCCGTATGGAGGTCTAGGTTCTCTGAATCAGTTGATTCACTTGGTACATTTTGGTTTTCTTCTTGAATGACTTGTAATGATAATTGGGTCTCCACTGACTGAACTTTTTCTACCCAAGGGTTCCTGGAAGTTGTGGATTGTACTCTGTGATATTTAATTGTACATTTTTGTGAGGTTCTGAGGGAATCTGATAACATAACGATTTTCAGGTGGTGCTAATCTCAGTCAAATGTCGTCTGGAGTAAACTCTTCTCACTCAATGTTGTTAGAAGATGATCAGGTGATTGCTAATCCGAGCTTCCTCTATGTTTTCGAAGAGTGTTCTGCTAGACATTTCCTTTCCTAGTAGCCTTTGCTTTCTTAGAACTCTTAGTTGCATGACTGGGCAGGAAATGTGTAGATAGCTTGACCTATAATGCCTTTACTTCCTATGTCTATGAGTAGAAAGTCCTTCACAGTCTGTCTGCAACCAGTTCCAGTTTTAGGTCGAACGGAATACCATTTTCCAGTTATCATCCTTTCCCACCAAGACAGCGAGAAATGGATTCGGGAATGGAGTTCTGTTTCCATAGTTTTTGCTGGCTCCTAAAGGGCTGTTAGTTCATTCAGAGGAAGTGTTTTAGTGCATTTACAGAAAGTTGTAAGTGGATAGTTACAATTACAGAATCATAATCTTATGATGTCAACAGAATCTTGTTGTCTTGTGAGTTATGATATATTAGCAGCATGGGAATCTAAGAAAGAAATGGGATTGAACGCAGCATGTTTCTCTAGGCCAGCTGAATTGGATCTAATCTCTGATGAAATGACTAGGACATTAGGTAATGTCTGCAAATGTTAAGCATAAGATCAGAGAAATGAAATTAAAACTACTGGGTTATCTTTCAAGTTGCACTCTTCTCGGAAGAAATTTTAGGATTGTTACTGATTGAATTGTTTGGCTGATATTTTGTCTCTTTTCATCTTACTAATGCTTCTCAATCAGTTACACGACAACCCTGACAAAGAGAATCTGGAGATGGAGCAGATGGATGGTATTGTAAAACAGAAAAGGAGATCCAAGAGCAAGTCAGAAGAGAAAAATAGTAATACAGATGAAGCAATTGAAAAGAAGAGGAAAGCGAAAGAAGAAAGGGCTCGTTTGATGGAAGAAAAGAAGCAAAAAAGAGAAGCAAGTTTCCTTGCTCTGTTTACTAGTTGTTGTGAATCTGTAAATTCTTGTAGACATTTGGGGAGATAGCTATAAATCCGTTTTTTTTTTCTCAGGAAGAGAAGCTGCAAAAGGCAGCTCTGAAAGCTGAAGCAGCAGAGTTGAAAAAGCTCGAGAGAGAGAAACAGAAATGGGAGAAAGGGAAGTTGGCTCTAAAATCAATTGTTGCTCAGTTGGATGCCAAAGTAGTGGAGCAGGCCTCAGTTGGAGGTGAGATTACGTAAATCACCCTTCTGAGTGGTGTTATATTAACCTTGAGGTTCATTCTGAGTTCTTATATCTCTTGTTGTAGGACATCTTCTGTCCAGGTTTGCTGAGAAAGGGCTTACATACCATATAACATCACATCCAATTGAAAGATCAATTATGTGGTCAATGAGTGTGCCAGAACATCTTGCGCAGGTATTAGTTTGTTAATTCTTTAAGATTAATTAGGATTTCTTGGATGCAATGGTGGTAGCACTTGGTCCACTTGTTAATTGCAACTCGCTTAATGTTGCTGGATTTCTAATTTGATGACCTATACTTTGTTGTAGCTATCGATCCAAGAACAAGATGTACGATATATTTTATTCATCTATGAAGCTGAGGAATTTTGCAATCTTGTAACCAGCGAATCACTTATTAAACATGTCTGCAAAGTTCGAAGTCAGTATCCATCTTACACAGTTTGCTACCTGACGAATAAGTTGATGGCTTATATTAATAAAAGGTTTGACACATCACTTTAAGTTTCATTCATGTTGATTTGCCTACCCCCACAAAATTAATCCCCAGCCACCCAAATGGGTTACTATGATTATGAGATGAAGATTAAGTGGTGGCAATATACAGGGAAAAGGAGCTGTACAAGAACCCAGAAAGTGGTAGCTCTTGGGTTCGTCCACCTATTGAAGAGGTAAAATAATCGTTTGCAATGAACAACTTGACACGTGTTATTGATGAATTTCAAAGAATTCGCTGACTTTCTTATGCATCTTCGCTTTGTGCAGATGCTGGCAAAATTAACCACCCACTTTGATAAGGTATATTACAGGCACTGTAGAGATGAAGCTGAAGTTGCAGAACATGTAGTTGGTTTGACAAGTAGTTTAGCTTCTTGCCAATACAGGTTATAATGCATTCACTTATTTCATCTTTCATCTCTGATGATTAATTATTTAAAATTTCTTACAGTTAGCACTGTCTGTTGCTTCTATTTGTGCTGTCTCAATCGCTGTTCACTCCTTTTCCTGTTTGTTTCTAAATGCAGAAAAAAGTTAACACGTCTCTCAGTTAATGCCAATGGGTCTGCTGTCCCAAAGGATTTTATTGACAAGAATCTGATAAAAAAGAGTCCATGGTAAGTAATAAGGTACCAGAATCCCTATCGTGATTGTAGTATAACTTTTCTTCAAAGAATGATTTTAGTATTATAACCATGGGGGGCTGTTCCTAGTCCTCTAGTGGTGTTATATAGCATGTTAGTATGCACACAAGTTCAAAAGGGTTTTGGAACTGACATTCTGGTTTTTGTTTTTCAGGCTAAAAGCTCTGGTTGCAATTCCCAAGGTGCAGCCTCGTTTTGCTGTTGCTATATGGAAGAAGTATCCTACAATGAGGTCATTGTTGAGCATATATATGGACCCCACCAAAACGGTAAGCAGCGTTGAACCCCTAGATTTGAACCTTATTTATCCTATTAATCCTTATAGTGTTGTAGTTGTAGACCTGATCTCATTAGCTGTTGTGTTACTGTCTCTAGTAACTGAAACGCTTTAGTTTGGAAATCCACTAAACAAAATTGGAATTCTTCTCAATTTTTTCCATCGTAATTGCGTGATGTTCTAAAAGGAAGTTCCTAATGAAGAAGTAACAATCTCAAAATATGAAGGACAAGTTTCAGGATGTATGGGTGTCACAATTGCAGTACACAGCAGTGGTTCAGAAAAGTTATAGACTTGAAATATCTAGTCTAGTCCGAGCTATTATGCTATTCTTCTGTCATGATTCTTTTTCAGATTTATGGCTTACCGCGGCCATCATGATGGCTTTGAATTCAAATGCTGTTGTATGATAATTCAATGACAGGTTCATGAAAAGGAGTTCCTGCTTGCGAACCTGACCGTAGAAGGGGTGACGGGAGCTGACAGAAGAGTTGGTGAAATATGCTCGAAACGAGTCTACAGAATAATGATGGCGGAAAGTGGAAGCATCAAAACTGACGATGTTGAAGATGGTGCTGATTACTTTCAGCGCTAATCTCCACCTCTTTCCAGGATTCAAGCATCACGAACCAAGTCAGAGTCTGGTCCAGGTTCCATACATAAACTTTACTATGCTCTTCTGTGGTTTCTTAGCCGTCACCTATACTATTCTGCAGAAATGCCTGTCATTCAGAATGATTGAAATCTGAACAGCTTCAGACCAAATTTTCGGGTTTGGGTCTGCAGTGCATTTGCAACCCAAAATACCAAGAAACAAATTAGTTGGTTAGGTGGGCCACTGACAGTAGGGTGGATTTTCAATATGGGCTGACGTCCGTATGCACCAACTGTCCACCTAATTCTTTATTGATGGTGGCACTAACACACACTGGAATACATCTTCAGTGTTTGAGAATATTCCATAGTATATAGAGTTTGATTAATCAAGGGAACAGATATATAACACCTTAACCCCACATTCTCTATCTCAGCAGTCAGATTGCAACAATCGCAATCATAGCCTCTTCTCTGTGTCCCGTAGCTCATAATTACATCATGAGCAATAGCAGCCTCTAGTTGCCTCCACTCTGCTTTGGCCCCTCATATTTGTGGTAAAGAGGGCTGAAATTTAGGAGAATTAATTGGCTTTAGCTTCCACATTTGTCTGTCTAGGGGATTCTTTATTAGATTATAGATGAAAGCTAAGGAGAGCCTGTAAGAGGGTCATGTTCAAAAGCGTATTTGATTCAATTTGATCCGGTTTTGTTAAAAACAAAATGGTTCTCGATTTTAAGATGTGTCAGAATCGGATTACATTTGTTCCGATAGGATTCGATTCAAATATTGATTACTAACTGATTCGGTCTGGTGTTGGACGGAATTGTTGCCCCTTTGTGATTTGGTAATGGATACACTCTTGTTGATTAAAATCTTGGATTCAAAGTTTTGTGGATATAGTTGTTTGCTTAATCAGAATTCAACATGCCGACTCAAACTAGATTGTCATCATTTATTGGCCTCTGTATTTAACTATTTGGTCCCCTCCATTGTCTGTTGTCTACCAGACTACCACTACCCTCTTTCTCATTCCACCACCACCTCCATTACCTACTCCGCTGCCAATTCTACCATCTATAACCAAAGGAACTAACAACCCAGAAAAGAAGAAAAATAGAATACTCAAAACAACAAGATTAGAATAGAGAAGAATCTTGCACGAGTCACCATCCTAATCATCATTTGATCTTCAATCACGTCATTATATCTACACACATCAACTCCACTCCCTTCATAGCCCTTTTTTTTTTTTCTCCCTCTTGTCTACCTTTCCCTCACTAGTGACTATATATAAAATCAGTGTCCTTCTCTGAAACATGAGACCCATCTAGGTAGATAGATAGGTGGAGGGATAGCTGCTGTAGTTGACATCTACTATTGGGTATTGTGATGATGATGGAGAAGAGCAAATCTTTTTCAGGTTACTCGGCGATGAGGAGGGCGGAATTCGAGGACAATTCGAAATCCTACAGCTTCAACGGCCCAATGAATCCTGGTTCAGGTGAGAAGGCTGGTGATTTTGTGAGTGAGAATCCAGAGCTGAAGAGGAGGAAGAGGGTGGCTCAGTACAACATCTACTCCAAGGAAGGTAAGCTCAAATCTTCTCTCAGAAACAGCTTCAAGTGGATCAAGAGCAAGTTTGTTGATGACTACTTCCAGGATTGAAAAGTAGTTTGGTGTGCGTTTCGATGTCTTCTTCTGCTTCCTCTGTTTTTACCCCCTTTTGTCCATCACAAGCTCTCTTTGATCCATCCATCCCTCCCTTTCTCGGGGAGATGGAGATTGAAAACCGTCAGCGTCTGTAAGTAGTTCGATTCAAGCTTTTTGATCAATCTGATGGTTTTTGTTTGTCATCCTTTTTGAACTCCCACTAGGCAGGACACATAGCAGTTTAAGTAGCTGCCTGCCATCATGATACTTAGACATATCATGTAGCTTTGTAGTCTGGCAATACTCGAGACATTGCTACGACGGAATTCTCGGTAGGCTGGGTTTGAATCCGTATTGTTCCTGTGCTAATGAAGAATTCTGAAGAACACAGTACCCAAGCAATTCAATACTAGAAGGTATAAACTCGAGACATTGCTACGACGGAATTCTCGGTAGGCTGGGTTTGAATCCGTATTGTTCCTGTGCTAATGAAGAATTCTGAAGAACACAGTACCCAAGCAATTCAATACTAGAAGGTATAAACTTGAATGGACCAAGTTTATATTCTTTATTCGTTTATAGCAAAAAAACTTTAACACCCCCCAATAAGAAACACAAATGGAGAAAACGAAACCGAGTTTTGTTCAATCAATCAAATTTGTCTGCTACACATCAAACCGTGGCTTGTTCACGAGGTGGCCTCGATGATCATCATCGAGCCCGAAGAGCTTGGAGATCTTGTCAGGATCAAGAGCACAGAAGTCGAGAGTGGACAGCGACCGGCGGTAGTGCTGCATCCCCGGGCCATCTGCAGCAGCGCTGCGTCCCCCACCACACCCATGATGGTGATGGAGGATGTCAGAGACGGAGGCCTGCAGAAGGGTGAAGTTGTTCTGGATGTTCTTCGAGGCACTGGGGTGTGCCTCGGTTCGTAGTGCTGACCGGTCCTGAAGCTGCGGGAGACCCACAGGAGAGAAAGAAGGGTGGATGCGTCCAGCGAGCTGGTTCATCGTCGGCAGCAGCAGCTGCTGCTGTTCTTCTTCTCGCACTGGTTTCAGGCTGGAAGAGGTACTACTGCTCGTGCTGTTCCCTCCTGCTTCCTGGCTGAATACGCTTATCGTTGTAGCTGTGTCTTGGCTGTGTGTTGTGCTTTCTTCCTCTGATATCTTCTCCAGCTGCATCACCACCAGAATCATGAGTCGTTCATGGTTACTTGTTTCCCAAGTTTGAGGTAGACTGTTTTCGGATTACCTCTTTGGGAGATTGATCCGCGTCATCCTTCCCCATGGAACCAGTTTGCTTCTTGCTGCTACCTTCACTGGTTTGACCAGTGGCGGCTTTCTTCTTTGGTTTCTTGCGTCTGTTGATCACATGTAGCCAGTCAGTAAATACCCGCCTAGAGAAAACGTGGATTTTGAAATGCATGTAATCAAGAAGGCCTTACTTCTTGCGAGTATTGGACTTGGCTGCTTCATCCTCTGGCTTCTGGATCACTGGCAGACCAGAGAGCTCGCATGCCAATGGATTTGTAGTGAAGAACTGCATTTAGAAAGTACTCTGCATTAGTTTTGGTTTGAATAACTCACACTGTTGCGACCCGACGGAATTATTATTTGGATCGAATATAATTCAGAACTCGGCGAAAAAAAGCGGGCTTGATTGAATTTGGACCAGACCGAATCGGATAAGATGTGACCTGGCTTTGGAGGGCAGAGGCGGCAGTGCCACGATAAGAAGGGTTGAGGGAGAGAAGACTGGAGAGGAGGGCAATGGAGGATGCTGGGAAGTCCTTGAAGGCTTCTTGGAAGGTCGGTTTGTAGTGCTGCGGTGGCCGGAAGCTCGTCGGAAGCCTCATGATCTTCCAGTAGTCCTCTGCCGGCGACCCACACAGCTTGAATATCCTGTGGATTTGCTCAACCTGAAAAAGTTTTGAGGGAGAAAATCCAAATAAGTAGATAAACATTTTTTTTTTCCATGAATGAGAAGTTTATAAGATTTGTATTTCTTTTTCTCTAGGACCACTAGTTTAGTCCAACCTACAACCAACATAATTATTAATATTCATCACATTAACACCATCTCACTTACAATAACACTCGAGTAACGACCACAAAGACGCTAAATGTTTGTCAGCTAAATCGATTACTCTCATATCATTAACTACGAATGACCAACATTTCGGTCCATATTAGATCGAATCAAGACGATAAACAGGATTTATAGAAGTCGATGCGTGTTTTATTTTTCCTTCTCAATTTTGTTGGATCCGTTCAAAATAAAAGAAAATGCAAATCAGATTACAACGAATCAAATGTGACTTTCTATTCTGTTCCGCAATCTATGTATCATCTACTATTATACTCTCTTGATGTCACTAGACAACGCCGCCAACAACAATAACTTACCCTTTTTTTCCATTCAGTGTAATCGAGACATTCACTACCGACAGTAATGACTAACCTTTCTCGCATTTATTAATCGGGTAACCCATTTGGTGCACACGAAGTTTCTTACCTCGGTCCTTCCGGGCATAATGGGCCTCCCGACGAACATCTCAGCCAACAAGCAACCAGCACTCCAAAGATCAATCCCGACGCCATAATCGGTAGCTCCGAGCAGCAGCTCGGGAGCTCTGTACCAGAGCGTGACGACCCTCGTAGTGAGCGGTCGTTTCGGTTTAGGGACGTAGAAATTGGCCAGCCCGAAATCCGCAATCTTCAGCATCCCATTCTTGTCTATCAGCAAGTTGGAACCCTTGATGTCTCTGTGCAGAATCCCTCTCTCATGGCAGTGCTGCAGCCCCAGAAGAAGCTGGTTCATGTAGCACTTCACCTGCAGAGCACTCGAATCCCAAAGGTTTAAGGGAGAGACAGTGGAAAGGAAATGAAAAGGAGACAGAACTCGATTTAGCGTGACAACTCGATCAAACGTTTTGATAAAAACGACTATATTCGAGTTGTCACATATCTATCGTTGTGTTGAAATTGATGAATCAAACGAAAGAAGAGCGAGAACGAGAGCGAGAGAGCGAGAGGAGACCTGTGGCTCGGTGAGTCGTTGAGAAGGGCGAGAGATGATCCTGGTGAGATCGGACACCATGTAGTCGAAGACGAGGTACAGACTGTACTGCATCCTCGAAGTTGCGATCCCTTCGAGCTTGATGACATTCGGATGGTCGAGTTTCTGGAGCACCATGATCTCTCTGGCCATGAACTTGATGCTCTCTGGCTCCGACGTGTCGAACCTGACCTTCTTCAGGGCAACAATCTTGCCACTGTCCCTGTCTCGAGCTTTGTACACATTGCTGTATGTGCCCTGTCCAATCTGACAATATAGCAACAAAACCCGATTTGGCAAAAAACCAAGTTTTAGGCGTCAAATTGTGAGAAATCGAATTTACAAGCACCAAAGGATAATAATCCACCTAATTGTGAGTGGGTTGAATTAGAGAACTCATGCAATCTATCCAAACCAATAGACTTTGTGATTATTGGGTCCTTAAAATTTTATCAATATTAACGTTTGTGTATCTAATGAACTTTGAGTTGATTGGGGTCCTTATGTTAGCTAAGATCGACGAAATTATGGGGTCCTAAACTTGAATAATCGTACAAAATCCTATATATCTATATTGTCATTGTGACTACTAACAAGTCAAATTCAAAACCAAATAAAACTTTCGTCATTAAATTTTAGATCTTTAGCCTCGATAGCCTGATTCAATCTCTAATACGATTTAACATCGAAATTCATAAGAAAGGGTGAAGGATATTGTTACTAGTTAAACAACAACAATTACCTTGGCAAGCTTATCATAAGAATCAGCACTTTTGGGCACCAAACTAGCCAACACATCTTTTGGTATATTGTCAACAAGCCACTTTGGCCATCCATCAACATAATCCTCCCCACCAATCTTCTTCAACACAACCCTCTGCGACTTGCTCCCACCGCCGTCCTTCCCCACCGCCGCCGCCGCCACGGCTTTGGGCTCACCCCCGTCAGTCCCCTTCTTGTCGTCGTCACCGTCGTTAACAATAATCTCCTCCAAAGGCTTCACTTGATCGTGACTCTCATAGTGGCTGCTGCTGAAAAGTTTGTCCCCATTGTTATTGAAGCCGCCACCTTTGTTCTTCTTTTCGTCGTCATCGCCTCCGCCTCCGCCGTTGTACCCGTTCTCCGCCTTCAACTTGCGCAGCCCCCACGGCGGCGTGAACCTCCGCCGCTTGCTGGACTGAATGCAACCCATGATGGTGATGTTGGTCGCCGGTTCACCGGAGATGATGATTTCTAGGACGTGGCATAGTGATTAGTGATTTGAGATTTCGAGGGTGTTGAGATGAGATGTATAGAGAGAAAGAATGGACAGTGGAGAGCTAATTGCATAAGGGAAGCCGTCCTTGGGGCGGCAATTTTTTTAGGTTGGGTTGGAGAGATATATAATAGCAAAGAGGTAAGTAAAAATGGGTGATTGAGAGATTTTTTTTTTTAACACTTACCCAAAATTTCATATCGAGAAAGGACGGGAGAGATGAATGATTTATCAGGAACAATTCAATATTAACTAATAAGATGCATAAGACTCGTTTTGGGTGAAATTGATGAATTCTTGTAAGAACTTTGAAATTAGAAATCATCAGGATTCACCCCCAACAACAAAATTGTGAGGGGGATAGATAATATCTATATATTAGAAATTGGAGATGTACTAGGCGGTCATACCGTGTCTGTTTTGAAAGATGGTGGTGCAAATCTCAATGAGAACGGTGAGATACAGGGGGTGTGTGTAACACCTTCGCAGATTCCACATCGACACACAGGAGAGAACCGTGACTTGTAATGAATAATACAGCTTTAACTTACAAATAACGTGTTTTGGGATGAAATGGTGAGTTTTTGTAAGGACTATAAAGTTAAACGTGTTCGATGTAGAGCAGTGCAAATATTAGTGACTTCCTGAAAAGTCACTATGACGCACCCAAAAGCATAACCGTGAAAGATAGACTCAAAGCGAACGATATAATGATTAAGAAAAGTCGCAATGTTACAATTTTCTGTTCCAAACAAATTTTGTCTCGTCATTTTATTGTTACGCAATCCTATCAATTATTTGCACAAATTCACAAATATTCAGGCACATGATATATTTTCTATGCAATTAAATCAATTTCATCTTCCAATTAATTTAGAAGTACTTAAATACAAAATTACTAAAAGTTTAACGAAAATAAGATGGCGAGAAAAATTGTTCTCTCTCGTGATGGGACAAGGAATTTTTTCCATGATGATTATTGGGGAACTTGGGATAAGATATTTTATTTTTGTTTTGTGGGTTTGATATATTAATTTGGTTTTGATGATGGGTTTCGATTTCTTTGGCTCTCCATTATCAATGAAGCTTTGTTTTGGGAGTGATGTGGTATATTATCAAGGCAAGAATGCTAGCCTGTTTTTTTCTTGTAGTTGAAGACTTTACTCTCTCTCTCCTAATTTGAGTGATGAAACTTAGTGAATCATTTGATTTGGTAAATACTTAGAATATTTTATTTTAACATCCCTAACATATATGTAATATGTTGTGCCATTTTTCTTCTCAATATCGAGGCATCTATCAAAAAAATAATCGGAATGCATATGTTTTGGTTTGCAATGTAAGAGATGAACACGGTTGGGTTGACTCGCTCAAGATGTGTGTGAATTATAGCCTTGCACTCATAGTTCAGATAACCGAGAATGATTTGTAGATAGTTTTGAAAAGAATACATTTTACATTAATATGAACCGTTTTGTCCTTAAAGTGTGGGTATTCAGGATCATGTATCTCAATCATTCAATTGAATTTATCTGTTATCTAATCACGATCTCAAGTTTGTATTAAATTTGAATTTTACGAACATGTATTTACTCAAAAATGAATTCTCTTGTTGTCTTACAACTCGTCCATCGTATTACCAGAAAACACTCACATACCTTTATATTCGTGTTAATTGTATATACGTAGGAAAGACAACTATGTCGCTACGCCAAGTATTTAGCTAAACTTGTTCATAGTTTCATTGCTGGTAGCTAGTTCTTTGAGCAACCCATTGGCTCCATAGCATATTGACAAATTTGTAACGTTAATTGAGAAGCTTGAAAGGGCTAAGGGGAAACTTGAGAGGCAAATTGGGCACTAATTCTTGTATTCCTTCCATGGCAACATGAGATAAAACAAATGGCAAATTGGCAATTATGAAATGGAAGGTCAGAATCCAAATGCTAATACCCTATAAACCCTAAACTTGCACCCAAATTGGCAAATTCTGCTCTTCTTGTTGTATCTTGTTTAGTCCCCAATGAAAGAAGAACTTACCCTTGTCTCTCCATTATTTTGTCGATTACAAGACTTTAGATGCATGTAGAAGAATTATGTATGCCATGATTAAAAACAACCCAACAAGATGATAACATTTCCTTTAGCCAAAAACACCCCATGAAATTGACATATTCTGTTTTGATCGGTAAAGAATCCAAAAAAACGGAAACTAAAAGGCTGTACACCAAACTTCTTCTCTGTCATTTGCCTATAAACCAAACATGGATCAATCTCAACTAATCTCAAGGGGCAAACCCACATAAAGACATCAGCTTGGGAGTCCACTTCTACAACATGTCTAATTACATCTGCCACTCTCCAATTTGCCCTTCAAAACTACCAGAATTTTAGCTGAATATACTGCCGATGCTTATAATACTGTCATTATGAATGATCTTCCTGGAGGACGAAAGGCCCAGATCAAAAGGTCCCAGTGACTCCGTCTGTAACCAAGGGAAATGCAAAACCAGAAAGGGATCTCAACAATTCGTCACAATGTGCAGAAGAAATGGAGATGGGTTATGCAAAACCTCACAAAATCTAGAAAAGTTTTAAGCTTTGACATACCCATTTTATGCCTGACAGTCCAAGGCTGCTTTCATCGTTAAGAGCGCCTGTAGTTCCCTCCTGTCCTTCTGGAATGCCAGGTTGGGAATTGACCTGCAAAAGGCAATAGGGCCAATAGGAATTAAGAACCTCCAATGCAGGCGGATCATCCTAAACAGTTCTAGATTCCTAAAGCTGGGTTCTTGTTTCTCACTAGTTGAGAGAAACCAGCTGGCGAAACAAAGTGTGTTTGGCCCAGTGAAAAACAATCCTCTCATTGTATGTTCTTACAAGTCTGTTAAACCTATGGTATCTGTCATGATCATTCCAAACATTATCATTGAAAATGTCATGACTAAATCGTTGTATTGACATCTCATGCCCCCGTTTCAGCACACAAACTGGAAAGGATCGAGTCATAGTAAACTCCGTTTCTGCAAAACTTAGGCCACAGGGATTTTGGAATCTACTGACCAGCTTAGAAACCTCTTCCTTGCTGCTCCTGCCCGAAGCAAATGTTTGAAATGTGAATGCATGACATGTGTCTTCAGCGTTTAAGATGGATGAGGTTGAAGCAGGAGGTACAAATCTTGAACAAATTGAGGAGCTCGGTTGGCCGGAAATGAAAGCATCAAATGATTCGGTAAAGAACAGAGAACTGCTTCCATTTGTTTGCTGTTCAGATGATTTGCTCGACTTCCCTTGCAATGATGCTTCAGATAGCAAGCCTCCAATGCTTATACAATCATCCCATGGCACTACTGGCTGCCCAACACCAATATCCGCTCTCATAGTTGTTGCCTAGTAAGACAAGATATTCACCAGTCAGAAACTCCGAAGATCTAAAGAATACATGAAATGTTGATATCAGCATTAACTAGACTTATCAGAGTCACATCCTATGTGCATCAAGACTTTACTAGACACATCTGCATGAGAGAGTATTGGAGTAATTTGTACTCTTTTAAACAGCAAGAGAGGAAACGATTGCAATTTAGATTGAGAACCAGAACAAGATTCAGTTCATTGAAAAAGAAGTACAATACCAGCGGTTCAGTTAGTGCAGAGACAGATACTGTTGCTCCTCTTGAAACGGCTAATTTGGTCTCTTCAATGATTTGTTTGCCTTTGACATCTATAGTTTCAACAGTACTGCTGCATTTCCCTGTTTCAGCTAACTGTAAGCAAGCATCATTCTGGTTTGAGGCAGAACCCAAGCTCTGACTTTCGGCTTTAGAATCATAGAACCAGCCATACCTTACAAAAATCATGTTAAGTCAGAAAGCCAAATCGTTAAACCAACAAAAAAATAGAGTTAGAAGTGCAGAAAGGTTCCGGATGAAGACCTTAACCGAAATACAGAAGGCCTTCCAACGGCTGCATAGACATCTTCGGTGCAGACATCAGTGTCGCGCGAGGTCCATCTGCAGCTAGATGATTTGTCCATTGTATTGTATGGGAAAACCATTGGCTGCTGCCCAATAGCAATACTCGACTTCCCCCATTTGGCATTGAGGTGCTGCAGTACAGAAGATATCTTCTTCCTCCGACTTAGAGTGAGTTCCAAGTAAGGATTGTAGCCTTCCTGCGATATCAAATGAACAAATCATACAAAATAAACGTTCTGATTTTAACAATGAGACACAAATATTTCCCAGGCAACACCTATTATCTATTTACCTTTTCCAGTCCCTTTAGGGTGTTCTTATCAATGGGAAACAGCTGCAACTTGATCTTCCTAGAAGGTTCATGGGTTCCTGGATTCTGACCGAACACCGTTAAGGGATTCGATACCTTCTCTTCCATCGAAGGCAATGGACATTGATCTTCCGGAACAAGAGAACCCCCAGTTTCGTCTAATGAACACCGAAATTTCAACAAACCAAACCCTCAGAACCGTAAGAAGAAAGTTCATTGGAAGAGCTTTTGCCAGAATGGAAATCCCTCTCAAAATCACAACAGTCAATCGCATAGCGTAACTAACCTTTTGGATTTTTGCCAGACTGCCGTCCACCGCCTCTACTCCTCTTTGCCGGCGGTTTTCTTACCTGAGACAAACTCGACCTCTTCTTTGCCACCACTGAGCTATCCACGGGATCCGCGGTTATCTTCTTCCTACCTCTCATCTGCGACTCCAATTTCCTTCACCTTTCCTGCAAACCCCAAAACCTAATCAAAATTCCGGAATCCGCAAGCTCCTCGTAATTACGGTGAACGGAGAATCATATCTATCTTGACTGTTTCAGATCTAGTAGCTCAAAAGGAAAACCGAGAATCAAACAAAATACCCTAAAATTCCGGCTCGTTACTTCGACGAACAAACAAAATCGCGAGCTGCCCACACTCTAGAAATTAGGGCAGGTCCCAAAGAAAACGTAGCTGCCACGTCATTATTACATGTGCCACCAACAATAATTATCTTCTTAGAAAAGAAAAAAAAAAGATTAGATTAATTTACCTTATGTTGAAAACCCAAACACGAAGTTACCTGAATCGGAATTCGGAACCTCAGAAACTGAGAGAGAAAGAGGACGGAGGATCGAGAGAGCTTCGAACTTTCGGTGGCGGGAAATGAAAAAAATTTCAGTATGCGAATTTCTGGAGGGAGCGAGGGAAAATGCCAAAGTTTCCCACTTCTTATCGCTTAACCGCCATTAATGGAGCCTTTAAACGTTAAAAACACTAAGAAGATCATCAGCCAGCTGAATTAGTGGGCTTTCTTGTTGGGCCTATCGTTCGTATCCATTTAAGGTGGGCCGGAGTTTTGGGTAGTCCAAGGAAACACAATATAGTTTATAATTTGTAAGGTTTTGACTTTAAAGTGACCATTTTATCATAAACACTATAATTTAGTGCGCAATTTTAATATTTACCAGTATCACCAACTTCCGGTAAATAAAACCCTAAGCCCCAATTCTCTCGACGTTTTTACCTCGATTGCCGGCGCCGCCTCTTCCTTCCTCTTCTCAAATTTCTTCCCCACGATGAATCAGATCAGGGCTTTTCTTTCCGCCGGCCGTGCCTGCCTCCGACGTGCGTGGCCAACCAACGGTAAAAATACAATTCTGTAATTCCTTGTCTTTTACTTCCCCATTTCCATGGAAAATATCTCAAATCGCAGTTCCATTTTTTTTTGTTCCTTCTTTTCCCAGCGACGGAGGGCGCACAATCAGCCGTCGCTCGATGGTTGATCGACGGGAAGGTCTGCGTTCGGTACGGTGCCGACGTGCCCTACCCTAAGCTTCGCCTCTCGCCGGCTGCGGCGGAGGAGGACGGCTGGGGAGTCACCGAGGTGGAAGTCCGCCAGCCCGACGGGAGGTTCGCGACATCAAGGTTCCGCGTCGAGATCTTGACCCATCGCAGCGATGCTCCCGACGACGTGGTCATAATTTCCAAGGATGAACTGGCCTCTCTCGCGAGAAATGTGTCTGATCGGGGGGATCAAATTCAGCGGATGAAAAACAAAGTGGAGAGTCGACTGGCTGCTGTTAACGCAGACTTGGATAAACTCGAAGAAAAGAAGTCAGGTGCACCACATTGTAAGGATTAGCTCTCCCTTGGTCGTGTTGCTGTTATGAATCGTTTATTCGTGAAGGGGATGTAGCTCAGTTGGTAGAGTTTGTGTTTACGACGTACTAATTATGTCTGGTATAAACCTGTCAGGGATGTAGGATCAGTTTGTAGAGTTTGTGATTACGATGAACGTGCTAATTATGTCGGTATTAGCACGTATGTTAGCTTGTTCGTCGTCTCAGGGATGTAACTCGGTTTGTAGAACTTGTGATTACGAGTCGGATGTCTAATTGTTCAATGTGGTAATGTTGATCTCCTTGTTCAATGTGGTAATGTTGATCTCCTATATCTGTATTCCTGAACATACTGCAAATGGTAATGGTTGCCCGAATTGTTGAACTCTGCAAGTCCTCTGTTTTCTATTTCGGTCTGTCTTATGGTTTTCTGTATTCTGGAAGGACTAACTCAAGCTGATAGCTTGATAAATTGGAATGTGTGCTTGTTTACTACTCTAGTACTCTGTTCTTTTGTGCATTACTCTGTTTTTCTGGGCAATCTTGTAGAGAGGATGGACCGACTAGTCCATCGAGCTATTAGTCAGTAGTCAGCTATTTCATACCATTGCTTGCTACTCTGCAATGGCATGGATTCTAAGCTCTCACTGTAAATAGATGCCATTTTTAGCTACTGAAAGCGTAACGATTTCGTTGTAATTCAACAGAGGAGGTGCCATAATGAAAGGATCTCGAGACGGAAGGATCTGCCATTATGAAAACAAGGTGTATTCGGCCAATGAAAACAGATCCTCTCATTGTATGTTCTCACAAGTCTGTTAAACCTTTGATATCTGTCATGATCAATCCCAACATCACATCGAAAATGTCGTGACAAAATCGTTGTATTTGCATGTCATGCTCCCGTTTCAGTACACAAACTGGAAAAGAATCGAGTCATAGTAAAACTCCGTTTCTGCAAAACTCAGGCTACAGGGAATTTTGGAATCTACTGACCAGCTTATAGAAACTCTTCCTTGCTGCTCCTGTTACTTCTGTCCCAAGCAAATGTTTGAAATGAGAATGCATGGCATGTGTCTTCGGCGTTTAAGATGGATGAGGTTGAAGCAGGAGGTACAATTCTGGGACGAATTGAGGAGCTCGGTTGGCCGGAAATGAAAAGAGTCGAATGAGTCGGTAAAGAACAGAGAACTGCTTCCATCTGTTTGCTTTTCAGAATCCCAGAACCAACCATATACCTTACAAGAATCATGTCAAGTCAGAAACCCAGATCGTTAAACCGACAAAAGAAAGAGCGTTACAAGTGGAGAAAGGTTCCCGGTTGCAAGACCTTAAACCGAAATACAGAAGGCCTTCCAACAGCTACATAAACATCTAGCAGTGCTCGACGTCCCCTCCATTTGGCATTGAGGTGCTGCAGCACAGAAGATATCTTCTTCCTCCGACTTAGAGTGAGTTCCAAGTAAGGATGGTAGCCTTCCAATCAACAATCATACAGAATAAACGTATTTTGACTTTAGAGTGACCATTTTGTCATAAGGATAATAATTTAGTGACCATTTTGACATTTTTAACCGTAGCAATGTAAAACCCTAAAACACTCATTCGCTCGGGCATTTACCTCCCAGCCGGCGCCGCCTCCCTTTCTTCTTCCTTCCTCTTCTCAGCTTCTTCCCCACGGCCACAATGAATCATATCCGGGCGTTTCTTTCCGCCGGCAGTGCCTGCCTCCGACGTGCGCGGCCAACCAACGGTAAGCTACAATTTCCGCCGGAATGCGATCCTGTAAACCTTCTTTTCCTCCCCTCTCTCAATTTCCAAAATTCTCTTTTAACTCCGCGTTCCATTTTGTTCTTTCTTTTCACAGCGACGGAGGGCGCACAATTCTCCGTCGCCAGATGGCTGATCGACGGGAAGGTTAGCGTCCGCAACGGCGGCGCCGAGGTAACGTACCCTAGGCTGCGCCTTTCGCCGGCTGCGGCGGAGGCGGACGGCTGGGGAGTCGCCGAGGTGGAAATCCGCCAGCCCGACGGGACGTTCGCGACGTCCAAGTTCCACGTGGAGATCCTGACCCGTTGCAGCGATGCTCCCGGCAAAGCGGTCATGGTTTCCAAGGAGCAAATCGACGAAGTGGTCGCTGTGCAGAAAAGAGTGTTTGATCAGCAGAAGGAAATTGAGCTGTTCTGTAAAGATGCGCAGGGTAAATTGGCTGCTGTTCTGGAGGATGCAGACTTAACCCAACTCGGCGAAAAGAAGTCAGATGCATCACCATGAAAAGGATCAAGTGATGTAGCAGCTCACTTGGTAGTGATTGCGAGTACCGAGTTACTGATCGTGTCGATGTTAGTATAATCGTTTATTTTTGTATAGCAGATGTAGCTCAATTGGTAGAGTTTGTGATTACTACGAACTGATTATGTCGGTAATGTTGCGTGTGTGAAGTTGTGCGTAGTCTCGTGTGGATGTAGCTCTGTTAGTCGAGAACTTGTGATTGCGAGTTGGATGTCTAATTGTTCAGTATGGTAATGGTAATCTCCTATATCTTTGTTCGTGAACATACTGTGCAATGGTTACGGTAGCTCGAATTGTCGAACTCTGCAAGTCCTCTGTTTTCTTTTCCTTTTCCTTTCAGGATTCTTTCCGCCTGTCTTCTGGTTTTTCCATGTCCTGGAGGGACTAATACAAGCGGATAACTTGATAAATTGGAATGTGTGCTTTGCTTGCTACTCTGTTCTTTTGTGCATTATTCAGTTTTCGGTAATCTTGTGGGGAGGATCAGCTCGGATCGCTTAGTCCATCTAACTATCAGTCACCGATTTCTTCTTCTCGATCGTTTCCCTAATTCTGGTCGGCGATTTCTTTCGCAATGGGTCTGCTCATCAGCTCCTTGTCAACCATTGGTAAGAAAGAGGAATTTATTCTCTGTGTGGTAATTATGTCACTATTCTGATCTGTCTTCCTGGGCTTGATTTTCATTCCAGGTGGTAAGCAACTTGTGCCGGCTTGGACTGCTGTCGATGCAGAGGAATCGAGTATGGAGCATGATCAGATTCTGAGATATGCACTGGATTCTAAGCTCTCACCGTAAGTTCATCAACTCATCGATCTCTGTTTCATAACGCTTTCTCCAGGAGTAGTAACAGATGGACCGAACTTTTGAAGGGAAATAGCTGCCATGTTTAATTACTGAAAGTGTGATGATTTTCTATTGAAAACAGAGAGGAGGTACTGTTTCGAGACGCGAAGAAGAGGAGGATCTTGAGACGGAAGGATCTGCTAGAACTTGTTGGGGGATCTAGGGTGCTGATTACGACGTGTGACCTCTACATCGACCACATAAACAAGAGCTCGCTAGCATCTAAAGGGCACTTCAAGAAGTTCATCTTCTGGACCACCCTTACGGTAATCAACCTTTCATTTCGATATGTCAATCGCTTGAATTTCCACCGCGTATTAAAAGACTCGTTGAGGCTAGCATTAAATCAAAGGTGTTCATTAATGTGGTTGCAGGAGATTGAGAATGAAGATGGCGGCAGTAAGAAGGATGGCGATATTGGTAATCACTCGTTCCAAGCAAGTGAAAAGCATTTGCCGAGCAGCTTCTACTTGCCATTACCAGAGGGGAAGATCAATGATGCCCACAAATGTGAGCTTGTAAGTAAATGTACAGTTGTGTAAACATTATTTGCCAAGCATCAATGTCTATTAGATAGGGGAACTAATAGTATCCATTGTCTTAACGAAACATTATGCAGTGGTGCATCCCCATGTCGTATCGAGGGCATGCCAGGGCAATCGTCATAAACATCAAGGAGGCTTGCTACGAGTATCTAGACAGCGGCGGACCTGACAAGGAGGCAGAATTCTCGACAATGGACGACGACTTACCTGCCAGAATCTTGGAAAGGGCAACCATGTACATCAATTGCATGCGACGTGGAGAAGGCCACATGATAATAGACTTCTCCAAGTTCGAGCTGACATTCCCTCCAGTGCCCAGCCAGCCTCCCGGCTCCCTGGCTTGCGCGATCTACACGCTGCGGTTCCTGGAGGAGTGGGATGTCGACGATGGCGGAGTGGATCGTCGTCTGCTGCGCAAGTTCGAAGGTTGGGACGAGGAGTCGTGGCATGTCGAGGAGAGGATGAAGATTTGTACATCCATTCTGACGGATCAAGACTCCAATGACATTCTTGAAGAGGTCAAACAAAGGGCGCAAGAATGGCAAACAACTAAAAGAAGGAAACTACTCATCTTCTTCCTTTTTCTTTTCTTTTCCCCAGTTCTGATCGACAAACTAACTCTCGTCCGAGCTAATTTCCGTTCTTCCTCGTGGTCATTCTTCCGCTAATGGTTAGATGCTTGTATTCATATAAAAAAAGTGGAGAGTCTACAAGAAGTGGACTAGTTTCACGAAATCTTTGCAGCGCCTCTGCATATACACGCTAAATATGTTAATTTTTGTTCTAGTATTATTGTACATTGTTTATATTTTCTATAACTGACGTAAATCTATTAAATACACTATTATATTAAAATGATGTATAAAACTCCGTACATATTAATACTGTAACATATGCATGTGGATCAAACATGCACACACAGCTAACCAAATGAGAAAGGGATGAGGTTAAGAAGTACGAATTAGTAAAATAACAAGATTTAGTCTAATAACACCATTTATAATTCATCAAACGTGATTTTCAACCTAGAAATCCCATGTTCAAATTCCTCAAGTAGCACCTATAATTTAAAAAAAAATACTATATCACCTTTATCTATAAAATAAAATCATCTAACGTGATGTTTCGTACAAATATCACATAGCAAAATAACAAGTTTTATGACATGTGGTGTTTGCGTCGCTAGGGTTGGCTGCTCCGTTGGCACGCTCCGGAAAAATCGGAGCAAAATTAACCAACCTTCAATATTGTAAAAGAAATTTTTTTAAATGGAACCTACGTTAGTAGAACTTTGTGATTACGAGTTGGATGTCTAATTTGTTCAATGTGGTAATGTTAGTCTCCTATTTCTCTGTTCGTGGACATACTGCGCAATGTTACGGTAGCCGGAATTGTCGAACTCTGCAAGTCCTCTGTTTTCTTTTCCTTTTCCTTTCCGGATTCTTCCGCCTCTCTTCTGGGTTTTCCATGTCCTAGAGGGACTAATAGAAGCGGATAAATTGTAATGTGTGCTTGCTTGCTTGCTTGCTTGCTACTCTGTTCTTTTGTGCATTACTCTGTTTTCGGGTAATCTTGTCGAGAGGATCAGATCGCTTAGTCCATCTCACTATCGTTCACCTATTTCTTCTTCTCGATCGTTTCCCTAATGCTGGTCGGCGATTTCCTTCGCAATGGGTCTGCTGGAAACCCTGCAATTAATCGGAGCTTGCCCTAATTTCAGACAATTAAGCTGCTAAAAGAGAAAAAACAGAGGAGGGTCGAACAACTTGAGATCCCCAAGCTTGGAAGAAGATGAGACGACCTGCAAATCGTGATCCTGATGAGCTGATTCAGATTATGGCATATATATGCGATCCCAAGCTCTCTTCGTAAGTACATTAGTTGAGAAAATCTCAATGCTTCTATCTCTTCTTTCACCCTTTGTTTTTTTTTTTTTTTTTTTCTCTTTTCGCTGCAACTTGAGTTATTGAGATCGATGTGATGAAATGGTGATTCATCACGAGTGCTTTTTGATGTGAAAACACATTCAGTGAGGAAATTCTGTTTCAAGATGTGGCGAAGAGATGGATCTGGATGCGAAAGGATTTCATACAACGTGTAGGGAAATTGGGGGTGCCGAATGCTCTGAGTGACCTCTACATCGACCACATAAACAAGAGCTCTCTACAAGCGAACAATGGCTACTTCAAAAAGTTCATCTTCCGTACCACCCTATCGGTAATTTTAGCTGTGAACCTACTGTTATAGTAAATTGTTTGTGTGATTCATTACTGAACTTCTCCCAACAGCTCGATTTATGCGGGATCAACTAGTTCCTGACATAGTATATCGAATCCTTCTGTAACCGAATTAAAGATTTTATGTTCGAATTCCGACGACCCCATTTGTTAATTAAGCACGTGGTATTCAAACGCGCGCGTGTGCACACTTTTGAAAGCCCCCATATATATGGTGACTTTTTAATTGAGGAGTGTATTAGTAAAATGACATATGATTCACAATTGAACATATTTCAACCACTCGAATTAACTGGGTGTGCATGCAGGATATTGAGACTCGAGAAGCTGACAAGAACAAGGATGATAATGCTTACTTACTCCAAGTAAGACAACATCTGTCAAGCATCCACTACGTACCAGAGGGGAAGATCGACGCCAACAAATGCGACCTAGTAAGTACACTTTTTTTGTTTTAATTTGACTAGTTGTTTCACCAAATTTGACGCCAGTTGAGCTTAATAACTCGAATTGTTTATTCATGTCGCGTGCGTTTTACGAAAACGCCGCGATTTGCAGTGGTGCATCCCCATATCGTACAGAAACCATCTGTCCGCGGTCGTGGTGAACATGAAGGCGGCCTGCTTCGAATATCTAGACAGCGGACCTTTCTTCGATGGCAGAAGTACCTTCTTGACAATGGACGTCTTGTGCAACAGAATCTCCAAGTTCGTGACCGTGTACGTCAACTCCATGCGACGACAAGAGAACAGAGTTGACTTCTCGAAGTTCGAGTGGAGATTCCCCCTGCTCCCTCGTCAACCTGTCGATTCAAATGCTTGCGTTATATACACTCTGCGGTTCCTTGAGGAGTGGAATAATAATGGCGGCGGCGGGAGAATGGACCTGCGGAGGTTCAACGGGTGGAACAAGGAGTTGTGGCATGTCAACCAGAGGAAGAAGATGTGGGCCACGATTTTGACTCTAGAGGCCAATGTCATTCGCGACGAGATCAAGCGTAAGGCGCGAGAAAAACGACGACGAGAAATTGGTGAGAGAAGAAAAGTACGACGAGAACCAACGACGTCGAAGAAGAAAAGTGGTGTTGGAGGAGGTTATGAAACCGTTTGATCCAATCCAGATAGTAGTGTTGGACGAGGACCAAACACAAGTGTGATGCAGTGATAGGGATAAGTATTATTGATATTGTTAGTATGATTGGTGTAGGGCAACATTACTAATCCAATTTTGCTAAGTACCTAAGTCGATTGTTAACTTATCTTTATTTCATGATTAAATCTTTACTAACAATATTATTAATCTAATTCTAATATATTTTTATGATGATTATGATTCAATCTCTCTTACGATTTCACAATGTGTGCAATACTTTTCATAAGCTAAAAAACAGCTGATTTTAGCATTCGATCACACTAATAATCTCTCTCTCACTCACTCACTCACTCACTCACTCGGCTTGCGTTCGTTACTTTCTCCTCTTCTCTTTCCCCTTTCTGCCCTTTTCATTCTTTCCTCACTCCTCACCTGCATTTGCGTTTCCATCCTCCATCCTCCGTTTGTTTCCCTGGAAAGGAAAAGAAAGGAAACATTTTTCTTGCTTCTCCAGCCAAACTACGAAGAACCCATCAAAACCCAGAGCCCATCTTCGGCCGTTGAGGTACCCTCTTCGTTTCATGATTTCACTTTCCCTGCCTCTGTCTCTCTTCGTTGCTCGATTTGATTTATACGGATCCGCAATTAGGGAAACGTTAGCCTAATGTGATCTGAATTACGATTTACGAACAGTCGCGGCACAGATCCAGAGCGTGAATCCTGTCTCTATAAATCCTGCATCCGCGAAATTTGGAGCCCATTCGAGACTGTTGATCTTGTATACTTTCTCTGCAGGGACAAATGTGTGTAAGTTAGGCTCATGAGAATTGGAAGCAATGGCGTTTAATTGAGCTGCGGAGGGAATTGGGGGGGGAAGAGAAAATAATGTCTTCTTCGAGTAAGACTGATAAGAAGGCGGCTGTGGACGCAGCCGCATGGATGTTCAATGTGGTCACATCAGTTGTAATCATCCTTGTGAACAAGGCATTAATGGCTACCTATGGCTTCAGTTTTGGTACGGTTTATCCTCATCATGGCTTCTCACCCCAAAATTTCGTCACTTTACCCTTTTAGAAAGTTACTGTTTGTGGGTTTAGCAATGAAATGAAAACAGGATTGTGAATAATTGTTTTCAGACCTCTTAGTAGATTGATTGTCAGTGACAGTGTGGTCTGACTGCATTTATGCTGTCAATGTGATTAACAACCATGCTTTAGATTTACACGATGATCGAGCTCCTTAGCTCGTCTACCCTCGTAGAAGTTAAGTGTATAGCGAGGTGCTTCAGTGTCAGAGCAGATGAGGTAGGTAAGGCTAGTTCTGGATCAAAATTTTTGATTTGATCTTTGTTCTGTAATGATCTCCTTAGCTAGTAGTATCATGCTTTTTGAGCATCACTTTCTTACTAATGAAAGTGGTTCTTATTTGTTCGAAAAACAAAAGATTTGGCTTCCTTACACTGAGCATTGCATTGTTTCATAGTTTCATTATCACGATATTATCATACTGCTGCAATGTGAAGATTTAAATGATTCATGAGGCAAATACATAAAATGAGTCAGTAGTGGCTCGTTTGGCATTATTTTGACAGTTTTAGTTATTGTTTGGACTCTGATTTGGGGGTTCAATGTTTGTCTTGCAGCTACCACCTTAACTGGTATGCATTTTGCAACAACGACCTTGTTAACACTTGTACTTAGGTGGATGAAGTATATTCAGCCATCTCACCTGCCAGTATCAGAGCTTCTTAAGTTCGTTCTGTTTGCAAACTTCTCTATCGTTGGGATGAACGTCAGTTTGATGTGGAACTCAGTTGGATTTTATCAGGTGAGGTTTAGTGAAATATGCAATGTCTGTTATCTCATTACAATGTTGACGTGGAATTTACAAAGTTTTCTCTCCACAACTTTTCAGATTGCAAAATTGACAATGATACCAGTTTCTTGCTTTCTGGAAGTAGTCTTAGACAACATGCGATATTCAAGGGACACAAAGCTTAGCATAGGAGTAGTTCTGCTTGGCGTTGGGGTGTGCACTGTGACAGACGTCAGTGTCAACTTCAATGGATTTTTAGCTGCATTTGTTGCTGTTTGGAGCACTGCCCTGCAGCAATATGTGAGTAAAACCTTCTCTGGATCCTTTCTTATTGCCAAAACTTGCTGTGTTTACGGATTTGGTTAATTTAACTCCTTATGCTCATGGGGTTTATGAACTTGTTTACTTTTGATGTTGACTGAGGATAACTATGAGGGTTGGTTGTCCTAATCCTAGCTGTTTATATTACTATTCCGAGACATTATGGAGAAACTTATTATGACATGAACATGATCAGCTGGTTACAGTCTGGATTTACACATTTCATCCTTTCTTTGACTAATCATCATATTTTATGGAACTTTTGCAGTATGTACATTATCTTCAGCGAAGGTATTCTCTGAATTCCTTCAACTTGTTGGGTCACACTGCTCCAGCACAAGCTGGTTCTCTACTTTTGGTTGGGCCCTTTCTGGACTACTGGTTGACGACAAAAAGAGTCGACGCGTACCCTTATTCCTTGACGTCTGTGGTAAGTTTGTACGTCAGACTCTAGTTTATATTCATTATCTCTTTCATTTGAACAACTTCCGCTGCAATCACTATGTATTATCCATCAACCGATGCTCCGAAAAAGATACTCCACAGGGAGCACGTATCATATTAGTGACAGAAGTAACATCTTTTGGGAAATCTGTTTGTTAAGTGCATTTCCAGGAAGTAAAAACCATAACTTGGTCACCCTTTCAATATGCAGTTAACCACTGCTTAGCAAGCACATTACTTTTTCTTACTATGTCTTATAAGAGCCCTTGGTATCAGCTCGTTCATCATGGTACCCTGAACCTGATCTAGAACTGGTGTTTGTGTATGTCTGCAGCTGTTCATAGTGCTATCGTGCACCGTCGCCATAGGAACGAACCTCAGCCAGTTCATCTGCATTGGGAGGTTCACCGCGGTTTCCTTCCAGGTCCTGGGTCATATGAAGACGATCCTCGTGCTGGTCTTGGGCTTCGTCTTCTTCGGGAAAGACGACCTTAATTTCCATGTGATTGTGGGCATGATCATTGCTGTGGCCGGGATGATTTGGTACGGCAATGCCTCATCGAAGCCTGGGGGCAAAGAGCGTCTGAGTTCCCCGGCTAACAGCAGCACCAAGTTCCAGAAATTGGAAACTGCTGATGCTGATGATAAAGTTTAGACACCACTAGATAAATTTAGAACAGAAGAGGAAGGAGGTAAAGAAAAGGGAGAGGACAGGATGATTTCTAGACTGGCATTTTCAGATGAATTTTAGTTCTAAGTATTGGATGTTGATTACATAGCTTCTTTTTTCTGTTTGGATCATAGTTAGGGTAAAGTATGGTTCTAAAGGAGGTGAAATACAATGGGGGTTACAAAGAATTATTTGTGACCATGATGTTCTCTCAAGAAATTAATTATTGATTTCAATATTGAATTTCTGAATTTTCTTGCCTTAATCTAGCACGACTTTAGTCGAGAACCATTATTTCACTTGCTCGAATAATGGGCCGGTGAATATCATTCAACGGCCCGTGGGCTTTCTGGGAAATAGAAGTTGGGCTCCCTCCTTTTTTTTTTTTCACTTGGCCGCCGCTCCTCCAAGTACTCAAACCCTCGCCACTTAACAGTTCTTTCTCTCCTTCCCTTCTGCTTCCTCCGGCAAATCGTCTGAGAGCTTTCGTCGCTCAAAGTCCTCGGAGAACAGAAACATGGCTGCCGCTGCTACTGGGGACGTCGCCGTCAAGGCTGGGACCGTCAAGGACGTGTCTCCTCACGAGTTCGTCAAGGCTTATGCCGCCCACCTCAAGCGAGCTGGCAAGGTAATTTGAATATCCCATCTGCTCACTGAATCTCAATACCCTAAAGAAATGCTGGGAGTTGAGGTACCGATTCTGGGTTTGTTGATTATTTGACGATGGACATAGGGTCGTCGGAATTAGATACCGACTGACTAGTTTGACAATTTGCTTTGAGACATGCTGGTGTCATTCACTATTAGGGATTATCTGTAATCGGAGCCATTCTGCTGCTTTATTATCTCCTAGAGTTATGGTTGGCGTTTACTTGCTGAGAGAAGTGATGGGGATCCTGTAAAGTTAGTGTCTTGCTTATTAGATTCTTGTTGAATCTTCTGATTGAGAGGCTTGTAATTTTTAGCTTCAAGTGTCTTAGTAATAGTAGCCGTGGAAGGCTCAGTTTGCTGAATGGTTGCCTTAGCTCAATTTCCTGGTTACTTGCGTAGTTTCATCGGCGGAGTAGCAGATTGTGAATGTTGCTTAGTGAGCTGGTCTTAGTCCTGCCCGTTAATCCAGGTTCTCGGTGTGTCTGTAATGAACTAGTTCTAATTTGTTGAACTTGTATATCTTAGGGTGATTCAATGTATGCTGTTCTGTTTACATATAGAAGTTTGAGATCAAGTGTTTTGGTTTTTACTTTGCTTCCTGGCCTATGTGTTTCTGGCTAACACATCCTCTTTGCTGTTTCCTATTCTTTGTTTTTTAAATTAGATCGAGCTTCCCCCATGGATCGATATTGTGAAGACTGGTAAGCTGAAGGAGCTTGCCCCTTATGATCCTGACTGGTACTACATTAGAGCTGGTGGGTATCCCTTGTAGTCTGCATGTTACATCACAATTTATATAGTTACTTTGGATCATTACTGGGGAGTCTAAAGCTTTGTCGAACTACTTTACTGTGATTGCAGCCTCAATGGCAAGGAAGGTTTACCTGAGGGGAGGTCTTGGTGTCGGTGCTTTCCGTAGGATCTATGGCGGAAGCAAGAGGAACGGAAGCCGCCCTCCTCATTTCTGCAAAAGCAGTGGTGCTATTGCTCGCCACATTCTTCATCAGCTGCAGCTGAATAACATTGTCGAACTCGAATCCGCAGGGTGAGCCGATAGCTCTTTCATGTCTTTACTACCGATACAACTTCACATTCTCACTCTAATTCATCAGATATCAAGATTAACATATGATGAAATGTTTCTTTTCCCCCATCTTAATTGGGATTCTAGTGGGAGGAAGATCACTTCGAATGGCCAGAGGGATCTCGACCAAGTCGCTGGCCGGATTATGGTTGCCCATTGAAAGACTCGAAAACGCTGAAGATGCTTTGCTGAAGCATGTGGAGGGAGAGGATTGTTAAAGAGGTTTGATGTCTAGATTCCTAGCTTACTTGGTCTTTTTGAAAAATGTGAATGCTTTGTGGCGGATAAGTAAATCAGATGTATCAAATTCTGTGTAACTGAAATTTTGGTTTGTGTAATGTCTTGAGTTAGGCGCTTCTCTCTTGGAGATAAGCTTTTCTGCTGGTAAGGTTTAAAGGGAATATCCAGATACGGTTGTTTTCAAAGACCAACTGTTGAAAAACCAGACAAAGGTGCTGTGTTTGGATCTGGAACACAGTGAATACCTAACACCAAACAGCGCCTAATCTTCTTCTAGGGGTTTTTACTCGGCAAGAAGGATTCCTCTAGGTTTGATGAACAGTATTTTCATTTCAGTTAGGTAGGGGGTGCTGAATCTGTTCAGTAAATGAATCTGTCGTCCTTTTGTCAATACAAACTCAAAGCCTACTTGCTCTTCCTCTATCTACGACTTCTTGTGATCTCTCTGTCTCCACTGTTCTTCAATAACAGAAACAGTTTGGTGCTTATGTGTTCTGGTTTCCACTTTATGCTTCCTGTTGTTGAAAGCTCTTCTTCATGAAGGGGGGAGGAGGAAGAGTTCGATCATGATTACGATTGCCACACACGGTTTGTGATGATCGACGAGGTAGTCGAGATGCTAATTCATATCAAACTCGTTTCGATAAATTGAATCGTTGAGCATAAGTCTTGAGAATGTGTAAACTACCAAAGACTTACACTATGTTTGGCAACAAGGGGGGTGCAAGTTCGAGGGGGGTGCAAGTTGAGGGGTAAATTGTTGGGGGGTGCAACTTGGTGGAGGGTGTAAGTGGAGGGGTAAATTGTTGTTTGGATGAAAAAGTAGGGGGGTGCAAATAGAGTAAAAAGTAAGTAATTATATTATTATAAAATAGATTTATCAATTTATAAAATATTATCACAAAATAATAACATGAAAATTCAATATATAATAATAATAAATAATAAATAATAAATAATTTTAATAAAAATAATTATTATATAATAATGCTCAAATATAATTATTTATAATAATAATAATAATCATTGGTCGAGCAACCTCGAAACTCGAAATCCAACTCGTAACTGGTCATCCTAAGGGGGTTCTCGTGTCTAACTTTAAATTGAATATGGTCAAACTTAGTCAAACACGTTCGAATCTATAAGTTTTAACTACTTATTAAAGTAAATCGAGTTAACTAAACTGTTCCTCTCTATCTTTTCAACAAACGCTTCTTATCTCTAATTTTCAATGCAAATTCGGGTCAATTAAGAGATATCGATTTGACTAGGCGAACATTGACAAACTTGCTCTCCGAGTCAAATGGTCAACCCCAAACAACTTCTACACTAATATAGATATAAGAAAAAATTAATAATATTAATTATTATGTAATTATAATCTAATTAAAAATCCATAATTCCCCTCCTCCCCCTTCCCCCTCCCTTCCTTCCTTCCCTTGCACCCCAATTTGGGGGGTAAGCCGAAATAGTGAATTTACGCTCACGTTTTGCACCCCCCTACTGTTACAAAATAACCAAACGGGGTTAAACACCTTGAAACTTGTGTTTACCCCCAAACTTGCACCCCCCTTTCATTTACCCCCTTCCCAAACATAGTGTTAGTTTACTTTTTCAAGGGGCAAGCTGATTTCCTATGTTTATAGATTGAACCACCATAACAAACTTTATTATCATGCATTAATAAGCTAATCCCAGCAAACTCTTCAGTAAACTAGATTCTTCCTGACCTCATGGGTCTAATCAATCAAATTAAGCTCCAGCTTGGCATCAAGAAATAGGAAATGAAGCATGAATAGTTCAAAGTTGATTAGAATTTTTGCTGTTTGGATTCTCTCTCTCTTGTGGTGGGGTTTTTCTTTTTTTCATTCCCTTTTGATTTTTCCTCCCCCACTCAATGGGTTTCATCAATTCATCATGAAAATATCTCTCTTACCATTTCTTGCAAATGAAATGAAGTGAGCCCCCACCAAAAAAAAAGAACAAGTAAAAAATTAGAGGGAAACCTCCCTTTAATCAATTGCCTTATAATTACTAGTTCTAGATTTCATTAAAGTAATTCTATGATTATATTATCTCCTCGATCATAAATTTCTCATCATAGCTTTTAGCTTTTAAAATGACCAGGGAAAGATAATCAAAAGGGAGGAAGTCACACGATATCAGTGAATTTTTCGATTGGTATATCATCTTAACTACTTCGATCGCAACATTACTAATTATGCTGATGGGTTTAGATGTTATTAGTTTACAAATCATGTGTACGACTTTGTGGTCGCACCCTAGCTATAGATTCTGTTTCTACATGCATATTCGATAACTAAGTGTATATTCGTTAACTAATTATATGAAATCTCACAAGACGCACAATCCGACAATATCAACTTATACTGATAGTCTGATATCAGCCTTTGTCGGTATAATCAAAAGCAAATTGCTCTTACTATAATATTGTTGTCACAATCTACAATTCAACGATATCAACACCTACCATATCAATATTTCCTCCTACTATATCCTTCACCTTCCACCTCATTCACATTTTACTCTCTCTCTCTCCATGTCCCACCACAAACAGAAATCCAACGTCCTATCCACACATAAAGGTGGTGGCTTTCAATCTTGGGGGATGAAAAAAAAAGGGGAAAGAGTGCATATATCTTTGGATTCTTCATCATATGTAATCACGTGGTTGTGGGTTCTTTTCGATTTCTGCATGTACAATCATGTTATAGTACGACGAAGAACAATACACATATGCTTTGAATCAGCAAAATTTTCACTATATAAGAAAAAGGTGAAAACAATACATCCTCCCTTCTGAATCATCCTTCTTATGTTCCACGGGTCAAAAAAAATTTGGCCCATATGACCGTGGCATTATTTTTCTTACTCGATTGGTAGTACTATCGTAAAAAAAAGCTTTGCTTGGAAAATGATAATCAATAATGGAATAGCTCGGGTGGGTTTTTTTATTATATAGTTTTACTATCCTACCACATTGAGCTATCTTCCTTTGCTTGTACTACATAGTATCTTTTCCTCTATCGATACATGCATGCATGACAAAGAACACCACAAATTTGACCTATATTGTCCCCCGGTCATACCAGATCGAGCGATCGTGATTACTAATCAGTCGCGTGTCAATGAGTTTCGAATCCTGAAAATGAATCAATATATATCATGTTGGATACTTTCATTATATACTTCAACATAAAACTCAAATTACTCGCCATATATACATTAACCAATTCAACGATCGTGAAATTCACGACTTTGACGCGCGACTTATCTCTCGTCGCGAGCCGTGACACGGTATCTTAGTTCACCCCCCAA